CGTTGAGTCGTTGTATGTTCTATGGTTCTTGACATTCTCTGCATCAAGTATCCGCTTCTGCCATGTTTTGTGCGTGGCCGGTGAGCGAACAGTGGGAGTGAATCAACCAGTGCTGGATCATCAATTGTGATGATCTCCAGAATATATGTATGTACGTTGAACTTCTTTCGCACCATACGTAGCCAAACGATCTAATCGGAGGTGCGGGGGGGGGGGAAATGCCAACAAACTAAACGCACAAAACAGTTCTAATGAAATGAGTTTTCAATCTAGATTTGAAATTGCGTAGCTCCAGTGGCTTCCTAATATCGTAAGAATGAGCGTTCCAGACGGCCGCAGTGACCGCTTTTGTTCGATGGTTAACCAAAAGCCGCTGCGAGGATGACCGCAGTTTGCGTGCTTTATGCTCCTTGACGAGATGAGCAAGGTTTTGTGGTTCATTTGTGGCAAGCACTTTGTGTGTCATGAGTTCGACCTTCATGTATTCGTTCAGCAACCTGGAAGCCAATGCAGCTCAGTGAGCACCGGACAGACATGGTCGGATCTTGCAGTACCCGTCACGCCACATACCAAAGAATGTTGTACACACTGCAGCTTGGTAATATTTTTGCCAGACGTCCCGTAGAGTAGTGAGTTGTGATAATCAAGCCTCGTCGATACTATAATAGCCGAATGTGTCGTACAGCCCTGATATGAAAATTATAGGACCTGACAATATTTTGCGAGTGGTGATCAAATGACACACAGCCCACGATGGTTAGCCAAAACCCGCTTCGAGGGTGACCGCAAGTTTGCGTGATGGTTTATGCCCCTTGACGAAATCAGCGAGGTATCGTGGTTCATTGGTGGCAAGCACTTTGTGTGTAATGAGTGGCATCTTCACGCGAGAAGCCGAGGATTTGAATGCGAAAGCAAACATTTGCCTGCCGGACAGAGGGGCACCCACGGCACGCGTGAGAACACTTCATTGACATCGCGTGGGAGCGGCGCTCGGTGTTTGAACGCGCGCGGTCTCGGCGGCGCTGACTCGGCATTCTGACACGCGGAGCGCTGCCCCCGCGTCGCCCCGGCCACTTCGACCCACTCCCTAATCTAAGATGAAATGCTACGCAAGCAATGGACTCTGGCATCTTGACGAGCGGACGTACACGTGGGACCAGTTTGCGCTGTTGCACCGCTTCTTCGGCTATAGGGACGATCGCCCTCGACTTCTTGCAACGTGGTTCTTCATTTGATCCACTCCGCGAGGTGGCTGCTTGACTCGGGCATAATGTACGTATGTACGTTTGACTTTTTTCACACCGCACGTAGCCAACCGTGCTAATCGGAGGTGCGTGGGAAGGACTATAAATTAAACACAAAGCAGTTATGAAGATATGAGTTTTCAATCTGGGTTTAAAAGTACACAGCTTCAGTGGCTTACTAATTTTGGAAGGTAGAGCGTTTCTAACGGCCGCAGAAGCGCATCTGAAAGCGCCCGATGCAGTGACCGTCTTTGTTTGACGGGTAGCCACCTGTGTAAATGTTGCATCTGGTATAGCATTCTTCGTTCACAATGCAGGTTTCTTTGGGTTCGATCGCGTAAATATATAAATGTGTCGTGAAACCCGTCACCACCCAAACAGATTGCTGAATACATCGCATGTTTTGTTTACTTAACCGGCCGTGTTAAGATTAAGTGGTAGTGTCTTAAGGCTCAACCAACCAAATCTGGGTATGTCATTTGGAGCGGTGACTTGCTCCAGGCTGGTTGGCTGCCTTGTTTATGCTTCTGTCTTGTATGATTTGTTGTCTTCATTAAGAGATTATACATTATATCTTCATTGCAATCTCACTTTTGCCTTCTTCAACATTTCTAAATGAATATCTCCGATTGATGGGCACGTGCAAAACACACAAACTAGACCAGGGGCAGAGGCGTAGCTGGGGGGGGCAGGGGGGTACATGTGTCCCCGGGCGCCAAGGTAAAGGGGCGCCAAAATGAGGCTTACAACGTTACATTATAACTTATTGCGGCGGGTGCGGCAGCCTGAAACTACTGCACAAATCTACACCTCAACCTAAAACTTCAATGGGACAAGATCGTCTCAGCGATCTTGCTCTTCTTAGCGTTGAACATTGGAAAAAAACAGATTTTGATTACGTGATTGACCAGTTTGTGACAGTGAAATCAAGAAAAATTTATCTTTTGTAGACTATGTCAACCAGTCTACGACAGTGACTGAGTGAGCCATGTAATATAATTTCTATAAATTTGCTTCTTTGAATACAATGTTTCATTAAAATTTAAATTGTTATTCCTTATTCGATGTGATAGGAAAATGTGATTAAACGGGGGGAGCGCCAATTTTATAGTTTGTCCCCGGGCGCAAAATATCCTAGCTCCGCCTCTGACCAGGGGTCACCAACCCGCGGCACGGCATGCTGCTCTTCAATGTCTGCAGTGCGATTCTTGAAAATTCGGAAGAAAAAAAATGTCTCTTCTCCGACCTACGTGACTTGACCGATAGACCCAGAGAATAGGAAAATGTCTCTTCTCGTTATTTTGGTTGGCGACCCCTGACAATAAACGTGGAGTTCACCACGGAAGTCAACCGTGGGCAGGGGTCACCAACCCGGCATGCTGCTCAGTAAACGACACTTTCGTGACCGCTATTTATTAAGGATCACCGTCTCGTGTTCACCACGAGCCTTGCAGCTCTTGAAATATTGAGGTTATCTTTTACCGAATTAGAACAAAAAAAGCCTCTTGTTTTTTCTTCTTCTTGGTTCTTTCGGTAAAGTCACGTAGAATGTAAATAATAAAATAATAAAAATAAAACATAATAAAATAATTCTCACGACGTTTCGGCCACAACGCAAGCAGCCTGTCCTCGCGTGGAGAACAGGTATGTCGAGAATACAGAGTCTGAATGACACACTCCAGGCTTGGAGCGTCTATTTAAGCTGGGATGGATGGGCGAAGAGCGCTTTGACAAAATAATTTGCATATCAAGAGGAATTTAGCATATCCATGGGAAATGCAAAATTCTTTTGTCAAGGTGCTCTTCGCCCCTCCATCCCAGCTTAAATAGTCGCTCCAAGCCTGGAGCGTGTCATTCAGACTCTGTCTTCTCGACAGACCTGTTCTCCACCTGAGGACGGCTGCTTGCGTTGTGGCCGAAACGTCGTGAGAATTATTTTACTATGTTTTATTTTTATTATTTTATTATTTAGATTCTACGTGACTTTACCGAAAGAACCAAGAAGATGAATCCCTGCAGTCACGAAAGCTTTAAATCGAAATTTAAGCCTCTTGTTGTTGTTTTGATTTGCTGACCCCCTGAACTAGATGTTGGCAGGCCTCACGGTAATTAATAAGTAGGCAAATAAAAACCCAAATCATTGATGGTAGATGGACGTCAACTAGAGGGCGCTCTGGAGGTTATTAGGCCTACTCTTCCGCACTGACCACACTCCGACCTGCCGATTGACTGTGGTCGTACACGTTGATGCTGCTGCGTGAATAGAGGCAGGGTGGTGGTGGGTTTAATAAACCTACCCGTTGTTTCGGCTGCCGTGCCAGGAGATGCAATCGAACCGGTGATCTCTGGATTGCAAGCCCCCCAGCGTCCTAACCATAACACCGCGGCATTTCTATAAGCGCGGCAAGCCAGGAACCGTTTTGAACCTTTTCCTCACGTTGCCAAGTCACGAATAGTCGAGGGGGAAAAAGAGATGCGAAACCTGAACTGGTATGCAAATATAAAATAGTGAAGAGTCGAATTTCGCGAAAGGAAAATGTCTGGTGCAACGTGATGAGTGCACGGGGAGCGAGCGGAGTCGCCTTGCCGTGCTGGCCTTTCCCTCCCGTGGGCCACGCACAGCAAACGGTATGTGGCCCTGCGCGCACGTTTACCAACGTTTACAACTCGCTACTCTACGGAACGTCTGACAAAAACTTGAGCAAGCCGCAGCGTGTACAACATTCTTTGGCACATGTCATGACGGGTTCTGCAAGATCCGATCGTGTCTCTTCGGTGATGGCTTCTGGTTGCTGAACGAATAGACTATAAGGTTACATTCATTACACACATTGCTTGCCACAAATGAACCACAATACCTTGCTGATCTCGTCAAAGAGCATAAATCATCACGCGAACTGCGGTCATCCTCGCAGCGGCTTTTGGCTAACCATCGAACAAAGATGGTCCACTGCATCGCGCGCTTTCAGATGCATTTCTGCGGAATGCTCTTCTTTTCGATATTAGGGAGCCACTGGAGCTTTGCACTTTTAAATCAGCTAGATTGAGAACTCCTTTATTTAAAACTGCTCTTTGTGGTTAGTTTGTTGGCCACACACCACACCTGTGATTAGCACGGTTGGCTACGTACAGGTGCGGAAGAAGTTCAACACACACACATACTTAGAGAGCCACCATTAGCCCTGCACGCTTTCTGATAATGGAAGCGGCCTGTCCAATTATCACTCGGGAAAAATTGCCACATCTCCACCAAATTTGGCAATTTGTGTTCGAAAGCAAATGCTGGGATTTTTTTTTCTCCTGATGGAACGTGCTTATATATTTAGTCATATAATATATATGCGTTTGCCTTATCCACACATTGTGTCTAGATGTAAGGTTGATATCAAATGGAAGCTCCTGACGTATGGAGTAAATACATTGTTTGGTGATACTGCATTGGCAGTGGCGCACAAGCACAAACAGCAATAACACATTCGTCGATAACGCTGCTTTGAAAGGAAATCATACATTTCAGGCAATGGCACTTTGTCCTTGCACATGACTTCCACATATGTCATGCGAGAATTAAAATCGCCAGGAATTGTGGTTGTTAAGAAACAATCGCGTGCAATCGCAAAAGAGACAATTTTTTTAGAAAAATGACGGTTGTGTTCACAGTGGGTTCAACAGTTGTGTTCGCTGTGTCAGCCTCGGGTCTAAATGTTCACACATCGCATCAATTTGCATACGCCGTAAACGATTCTGCTTTCGCGCCCCGGGGTCACGCGAGATCGATTCGGTGGCGCGTATCGTGAACGGACGAATCAGTTTTTAATCGACGCATCTTTTGCACCCCTACGATAACGCTTAATCGCACGGTCAACAGCAATGTAAAAGCATCCAGCTTGGGTGAGCGGGTGGATCAACAAGCGGGTGTGTTGTTTGCCAAGTGTGGGCTGTTGGTGTGTCTCCCAGATATATAAAAAAAAATCATACCCAGGGGACCGCGTTGCCATGGCGCCCGATGACATTGAATTGTAAATGCGGTTCCCCCGTGGTATCGGCGTGAACGCGAGCACTATAAATGTTTGATGGGCTGCTGCAGAACCATTGCGGGTCTCACACAGCTGCTGCTGCTGCCTCCTCTGCGTGCGCGCCTCCGACAAAAGGATTTACATGTCGTGAGTAATATTCCTTCACATCGCCTCATCGCATGACCGCGCATTTCAGCGCTTGGGCCTCGGCGCCGATTGAATTGCGTTTTTCGCTTTTGCTATTTTGTCGTTTCAGAATTTTGTTGCATCGTCTGGTTTGGCTGCATGTCGATCGCGCTTGTTGCAGCGTCGCTTCCATTTTTTGTTCAGGCTTGCGAGATCCGCGTGTGTGTGTGTTATTTTTCTCGATGCTCGACAAAGGCTTTGTGCACTTTAATTTCCGATCGCTTTACATGATTGCACATTATACCGTGCATTAGAAAATGATCGTCTATTTTATTGAAATCCATTTCGAGGGGTATTAGATTTGAATAAATACACATTAAAATTGTGATATGCTTATAATTATCAATTTGTATTGCTGCAATGATATTTTTTTAAGAGTCATGGAATACGGTGAATTTTTAATTGAACATTTTCATAGAGCCGCAACTGAACATTCACTAACATGAATATCACGTAATAAATCAGCTGCATTATTAATTGGGTGTCTCACAAATCCCTCTGGCTCACTGTTCATATTGACGAAGGGCAATGCTTTGCCATCACTGCTATCACGTATCCCCCGGTGTGTAATTGTGAGAGATGGCTTTTTTTTGATAGATGGGCGATTTTAACACGGCCCCTACGCCGTGCTGCTCTGTGCGTATTTGACCACCGTGACATCTTCCACCTCCCTGCCGAAGCCATTTTTCCAGACGGCATCTCCCGACGCGCAGTCGTGAGTGCCCATAGCATTGCCGTGCTCAAAGATGCAGCGTTCATTATTTGCAAACGAGGGGGAGAATTGTGCGCGGCGGGGTGTGGCTTTCTCCGTCCGTTGTGTCGTTCCATCGTCCGCTTCTGCCCTCCCACCCGCACAGCCCCACTGAGACGGGCGAAGGAGACCCGGTGTCTACCGCTCGCGTTGTCCGCCAAAAAGGAAGACGCAGCCCGAGAAACATTTAGCTGCCGTTGTGCGGACACACATTTTAGAACGTTTTAAAGTAAACCATTTTTTTTATTTTGCCAGATAAGGCCCACTGAGCAATAAAGCTCTTTTTTAGAAGCGATCTGGCCACAAATGATAGCGCAACGAAGTGGCTTATCACGTGGACATATATAGCGGCCAAATACTCTAAACGCATGTTTATGTGGAGGGCGGGGAAAAAATCTGCAGGACCCGGAGAAAATTCCACGCGACCACGGGGAAAGAGACATGCAAACTCCAAATATACAGCAGGTGTCAGTGTCGGGATTGAACCCACGACCTCCTGTACACCAGGCGAGGGAGTTAACATTTCACCACTGGGCACCGCGGTGGCGAGACGAACCAACCACTGTGTAAACGAGAACCTGTGGGCGTGTAGTATCCACCATGCCTGGTGTCATGAGCCAAATTTGACATTTTACCCTCAAACGACTCGATTGCAATTACGTGCGGCAATTGTTGCCCTGGCATCGCCCCCTTCCTTTTAAAGCTGAACAGGACCCTCCTGAAAACGAGTCGCGAGACTCGGCGAGGCGTTCCTGGGTAAGCGAACGGGGACGATGGTAATAATAACGATGATGACGGACAACGATGGTGATTCGCAACCTCATCTCACCTCCAGCCACAACCTTGGGTCATGTTATCGTCGAGTGCAACGTTTCTTGAGCATGAGCCGGAACCCACGGTGCTTTTCGTGCCATGACTCTACCGGCGGTGTTGCGCCGATTGCTGGGTTTGGTGTGGTAATGATGCGCGCCTTGGCAATTATGCGCATCAGTTTACGTTGCTGCTGCTACTGATGCCGCTGTTGTCGCCAGGGGGGTGATTGGATGCGCACGGGAGCCGCGTGTGTTGTTCGGCAAGTCGGAGTGCACATCACAACGCCCGCCAAAACATGATGACGATTGCCTCGTTTTGTAGAGAGTGTTGTCACCGTGTGAGTAATCTTTCGGAGAGTTCAAGCCTTAATATACGCCCAGATAATGGGACGTAGGCTCATACCATAAGTTTATATACAGGTGTACTGTGTATACAAACGAAGATCGCCCGTGTAGCCTTTAACAGACTGTTGGGGCAAGTGCTGTTAGCGAACGTCTATCAAGGCCAGCACCACGCCCGGCTGCCTTTGTCTCCCTAGTGGCGATGTTTGTACATTGCACTAGGTACTCATTTTAGGCTGAGTCGACCTAGGGGAGGTAGTCAATGCCGTTGGCCATGAGCGGGAATCGAACTCGGATCACCGGTTCATACTGCAGCGCGCTAACCACTGCGGCACCGCTCCTGCTACTGTGTAAACAATAAAGACAAAGATCCCCCATATAGCCTTAACAGACTGTAGGGGCAAGTGCTGTTAGCGAGCACCTATGAAGGCCGGAACAGCACACGAAGGGGTGGATGGTCAGCACCACGCCCGACCGCCTTTGTCTCCCCAGTGGCGATGTTTACACACCGCACCGGGTACTCATTTGAGGCTGAGTCGACCTAGGGGAGGCCCCGGACCGGTTCAGATAATCGTCACTGGTGTTGGCCGTGAGCGTGCTAACCGCTACGCTACCGTGCCGCGATGAAATCGGTTCGTGCTGCAGCCCATGTTCACTGTCGTTCCCCTCTGCGGAAACGTCGCAACTTAGGAATGGGAATCGTCCTCAAAGTGCCGGCACGGCGTAGCGGTGACGCACACACACAGACCTGCTCCTTCCTCCGCCGTGTCACACCTTGCATCTCGAAGGCACCTCCAGGATTCTCGGGGTGAATTGCTAATGCCTGCAGTTCATCGAGCCCAGACTAAAGCCACCTTCAGGCTTCTGTTGGTAATGTGGTCATTCCATTGGAACCTCATTTGCCAGTTAAAAATATGATAATTGTTTTTTTACCCTTCTATCTGGCAACAAAACTGACACCTTTTTTTGCAGTGCATATATTATCAGAGTTATGTTTTTTGTTTGCATTATGGCTGCAGGTATTGTGGTCTATGCAAACATGACTCCTTGTAAAAAAAAGGTGTCAGTTTTGTTGCCAGATAGAAGGGTAAAAAAAAAAATTAGAATATGGTCATTCTCGAGGCTTTTCAGAGCTAGAGCAAAGCGGCTTTCCTGATTGTTAGGGTTCATTTTTATTGATTGCAGCTCACAAGGTTCGATTAATACATAGTCCATGGTTCTTATTTAAAAGTATTAATCGCATTGTTTTTATTATAATACGTCCATTCCCCGGTGTGTTATTGCATATTAAAACGTTCGCTTATTTTGTAACTCGTGGCGGTGATGGACGTATAATAGGAGGTAGTTAAGCAAATATCTTGCGCATTAATACTCGTGAGTTATTGGCAGGAACGTGTTTGATTGCACAGCGTGACTGGTCTCCTCCACCATTGGGCATCGCGTGCGTGTGTTTTATTTTTAATGGGAGCCGTGTACGATCGCGCATGCATGTGCGTGTGGCAATCTGCACGCGTGTGGGAATCTGCACGTGCGCATGAATGTCCGTGCATCTTGATGTGCGTGCGTTTGTGTCTTGGGGAGCGGCAGCGCAGCAGTTAGCGCCGCCGTGCGACGAACCCGGCGAGCCGAGTTCGGTTTCCCGCTCACGGACACCCAACTCCGGTGGCCATTATCTGAACCGATCCCGGGCCTGCCGACGGTGGTCGACTCGGTCTCAAACGAGAACCTGGTGCAGTGTGTAAACATCGCCGCTGGGGTGACAAAGGTGGCTGGGAGTGGTTGCTGGCCACCCACCCTCTCGTGCGCCGTGGCCACCCACCCACTCGTGCGCGCCGTGGCAGCCTTCATAGGTGCTGCTACTCGCTCACAGCACTTGCCCCAACAGTCTGTTGTGTATCTCATACACAAGGCAAAAATACCCCTCCACCGTCACTACCCCCCACTTCACTACCTCCCCCCGTCGTCACCCCCCCCCTCCCCGGTGGGAGTGTTGTCAGAGAGCACACACAAGCAGCCGTGCCAGTGGCTCGCTCGCTGCTCTGCAAATCCTGGCTACGTGTGCATGATTTATCGTCATGTGCAGTCCCAGTGGCAAGTGACATCCGAACCGTTCCTGGGTGTCTTTCTAGGGTCACAGTGAGGCGTAATCATTGGCGCTGGGTAGACCTTGGTGGCAAGGTGTGGGGGTGGTGGCGGCTCCCACCCCCCCCCTTCCCCCCGTGGTGCCGTGCTGCCCTTAATGGGGTTGCTCGCTTTTAGCATCACCCCCCAAAAATTCGTTTTTTTTTTGATTTTCCCATTTTTGAAGGAGCACACCAAAATATGGTTTAACCCGCCCTTGAAACAAAAATAACAGCATTAATCTTTTGCTAAATGAGGAAAAGTGAGAATAGTTGTTACCCTTTCTGGCAATAAAACAGGTGTTAGGATGTGCAAACACCAAATAGAAACCCTTTTGCACGGAATCGGGTCTGCATCAACCACACGAACTCGTGGTGAACATGCAAACAAACATGCTCTGATAATAGATGGCATTGTCTTTTAAATAGATTGGTCTAAACCAGAGACAGCCTTCTGGAGGACCTAGTCTTGCCAGTGTCAGACCAGAGAACGCCAAAAGGCGTGTTGTGAGAAAGGCGATTAATTCGTTTCAAAGACAATGCCATCATGCATTCTATTAATTACACTGGTCAACAAAAAAAACTTGACATCTTCTTACCTGTTCTTTTGCCAGAAAGCCTAAAACCTATTCTTATATTTTGAGACTGGCAAGGGAGGTCCCTTGAAAAATGCTCTGATAATAGATGCATTGTCTTTGAAACTGATTGGCCTACACCAGAGAGAGCCTTCTTTAAGGCCTCGTCTCACCAGTGCCAGACCAGAGAACGCCAAAAGGTGAACAGCACAAAGACATACTCTTTGGTTCTTTCGGTAAAGTCACGTAGGTATAAAATAAGATAAATCACGACGTTTTGGGCGCAACACAAGCGTCCATCATCAGGTGGGAAAGCATGGGTTGCACTCCCTCGTCGAGGAGGCCGCTCTTCTTTTCCTTTTCTACAGTTACATGCTAATCCCTCACATTAACATAAAGCTAATCCCTCACTTCATTCTAGATTTGAAGCTTTCGTGACTGCAATGATTCATATTCTTAGGTTTTTCGGTAAAGTCACGTAGGTAAAAAAATAAAATAAAAATAAAAACATTCTTTTATTTTACTTTTTAATGTTTTTTTACCTACGTGACTTTACCGAAAAAACCTAAGAATATGAATACTAATCCCTCACATTAACATCATGCTAATCCCTCACATTAGAATCATGCTAATCCCTCACATTAACATCATGCTAATCCCTCACATTAGAATCATGCTAATCCCTCACATTAACATCATGCTAATCCCTCCCATTGACATCATGCTAATCCCTCACATTAGAATCATGCTAATCCCTCACATTAACATCATGCTAATCCCTCACATTAGAATCATGCTAATCTCTCACATTAACATCATGCTAATCCCTTACATTAACATCATGCTAATCCCTCACATTAACATCATGCTAATCTCTCACATTAACATCATGCTAATCCCTCACATTAACATCATGCTAATCCCTCACATTAACATCATGCTAATCCCTCACATTAACATCACCAGCTCCGCCCACTTTTTTATGACCTTTGGGCTACACACATTTCAAACCTTCTAAAACAGTCTGCCTCAGCAGCAGGCCTTGCTTTCCCACCTGATGACGGACGCTTGTGTTGCGCCCGAAACGTCGTGATTTATTTTATTTTTCTACCTACGTGACTTTACCGAAAGAACTAAAGAGTATGGATTCCTGCAGTCACGAAAGCTTCGAATCAAGTACAAAGACAATGCACGATCAGAACACGTATCGCTCGCGTCGAGCAGCTGTATCTCTGTGGGACCTATTGTGGTGGAGTGTTGTTATAATAATTCACATTATTGTTCATCTCGCTGAACGTTCTCACTTTGTTTGATGAAGTGACACTCCTGGACCAGGACACAAACTCGTCGTTCTCTTTTTTCTGAGCATCGGGCCCCATCCTAATCTTTGTCCGGTTTGGGTGGCAGTGGGGGGGGGGGGGGGGGTGACGCAGTGGCAACGCTCGCGCCTCGCAGATAATTAGGGCCCTGGTTCGATACCCGCAGCGGGGCACCTTTCTCTGCGGAGTTTGTCTCTTCTCTCGCTACTCTGCATGGGCTCGCTTTGGGTTCTCGCAGCTTCCTCTCACAACATAAACGAAAAACACACGATACCAATCTGAGTTCAAATTAGAATAAAATCACGTGCAAAGATACCCACAAATTACCCGCGTAGCTGACCCATGCACAGGGAGAGCTGCCGCTGAGGGTGCCCTTGGCTCGACCACATGGCAACCATCTCCGCCCCCTCCCGAGTGGCACACTATCGCCCATCGCCTTATGCCGCACAGGGACAGCTGCCACTGAGGGTGCCCTCGGCTCGACCGCACGGCAATCATCTCATCCCTGACTGGCACACTAACGGCTATCGCTCAGCCGGGTGCCGAGTCGCCTTGTGCCGCGCAGGGACCGCTGCCAAGATGGGGATCAACGCTCCGAGACGTTTTGCTTTGCGTGACAAAGCGCACCGTAAATCTGGTTGCGTTCACTCACAGGTCATGAATTAATTGAGCAATTCACAAAAGGGATAATCTTGCCCCGATTAACTAAATCGATGACACTGCATGGGATTTGTTTACAAATGGTCCTGCATCTCTTGGACAAACATCTGTATGATACTTCGGAAGCACTATATTTGCTTAGTAATGACTAGAATAGCCCTGCTTAAAACTTTAGGAATGTACACTGCACTCTAAACATTTCCTAAAAACATCAGTGGTGGACTGGTTGGACTTGCTGTGTGATGATAAACAGCTGAGTTTCCCCAAACTCCGTTCCAATCAGATACAGATTTCAACTTATGGCTTGCATCCATTGCCGACAGTGTAAGCACAGTGGCTTTGCTTTTAAATTACGAAGGTTGTTGAGAGTGGACCTTGTGCGGCATGGGGATTAGAGTTTGAAATATGCAGGATTAACTGAGTGTTTTCTTGGCACTGGCTCAGCGCTCGTGTTTTGGGTGTACGTATGTATGTGTGTATGTGGGGAGAGGAGAGCGGTAGTGTGGCGGTTAGCACGCTGTGCTACGGACTTGGCAGCCCGAGTTCGATTCCCGCTTACAGCCAACACTGGTCGACTGAGTAGCTGGTGCGGTGTGGAAAAACATTGCTATTAAGGAGACAAAGCCGGCCGGGTGTGACTATGGCCACCCACCCCATTGTGTGCCAGCCTTCATAGGTGTTCACTAAGAGCCCTTGCCCCAACAGTCTGTTAAGGCTATACCGGGAGTCTTTCTCTCATGGCCAACATCGGTGACGAATATCTGAATCAGTCCTTAGCCACCGTTAGGTTGACTTGGTCTTGAATGAGTATCCGGTACAGCGTGTAAACATCAGCTTTGGGGAGACAAAGTGCGGTGCCACTCACCCCCTTGTGTGCCATGCCGGCCTTAATAGGTGCTCGCTAACGGCATTTGTTCATGTGCCCACGCGTTGTATATCTGTGTGCATCTCTCCCTGTGTGTCTGTGCGTGCTGTTACACACACACACGCACACACGCACGCGCAGGGTTGAGGTGGCGGGGGTGGCCCTGGAGGCCCAGGCTCCGGCTGCTGCCATGGCCGCCCTGCTGCCCCAGGGCCTGCTGGCCTGCGTCGAGGAGAACAACGTGGCTGGCCTCCTCGTCCTGCTCGAGAGCTGCTCCAGCGTCGACGAGCGCAACGAGGTGAGACCTTCCGCGCCCGACGCAGCCACCTGTACGTATGTACGTTGGACTTCTTTCGCACCGTACGTTGCCAACCGGGCCTACCTTGGTGGGGGGGGATTGATGTTCCCATACCTCCGGCTAGATTCTTCTCATTAGAAGAAATGTTGTGCACCTTAAAAATGACATTCGTGTCATCACCACCTGGTTTTTTGTAATTTTTCACACATGTTCGTCATCGGAACAGGAAGGGATTAAACGACATTCCCGAGTGTAGCGTGTTGATGGTCTACACCCAATAACCAGCAAAACGCATCGTATTACATTTTGTTTACTGCACCTCTGTTGTCACCAGTGCATAAAGATCTTTTGTTGTCGTATATCACTCTATTACTACCCTACGGTGGGTGGGGGGGGGGGGGTCGGCGCCACGGACACCGAACGCCGCCCCAAGCGAGCGTAGCGTACCGGGCGGGCAGCATCCAACCAATCGGCGCCTCGCCAGGCGACGGGCAGCAACGGCGGTTTGCCGACCTCTTGTCCTCACGGGACCCATCGCGAGCGATGCCGTCCTGGCCGTTGCGTGTCTCGTGGGAGGGAGGCGGGGGAGCATCGACGGTCGCTAAATATACTCGCGCGGATAACTAATCGGGCTTTTTTTAACTCTTATAAAAGTCAGGTCATGAGCCCCCGGGCGCCCGTGCGCACAGCCCCTACATGTCTCTGTTTGGCGTGCTCGACTTCTCCGAGCCCGCGCGGCAAAAGGTGTCCGCGCGGAAGGCATGCGGGGAGGAGCGCCGGTTAGAAATGGGAGAGCGGCCGCGGGGACACCAGCAGCGGTAGGGAGGGGGGTGGGGGGGGGGCCGCACGCCAAAACCAATTTTGTTTGACTCGCCCTACCGCCCGCTGCCACCGCTGCTGTTGCGGCTGCGTTCTGTTTTTAGGAAAATTGCGTCAGGCGAGCCGGTCGGCGTGGTTGGCCTATTGCTCGGTGACTTCACTCTTCACAGAGGCTGGGTGAGCGCCTCTCGTATACGGCGCTGTGGAGGACAGGGTTTATTAGGCACAGGTCGTCCTGTGCGGTGAGACTTTCACATTGGACGGGCTTCGTCTTTCGTATACGGCTGTTGTAGATGCAGAGCAACAACCTAAGATTTTCACATTCAGATTGTCAAGCCAGATAATCGTATCAGGAGTTTAGTCAGTTCTGGATGACCACAGTTTTCAATTTTCCATTTGTGCATCAGGTATCCGCAGCTGACATGGTTTGTGCGGATGCAGTTTAGAAGGTGGACCGTGAACTTCTGGGAAGATCAAACCCAGGGATTTTCTCCGTTGGGTCTTTCACAACGGGATGTTTGTTTGCGAGTTCTTTTGAACTCCGTTCAGCTCTCCAAGCTTCATCGGTGTTGAACTCGCATCGTTGAAGGTTCAGCGCATGGGGTCCAAAAGGGCTTGCGTGACTTGGAGCGATGACGAGGGAGGTGCTTGAGCTCCTGGTGAATGGGAAGGGGCGATCGTTGTCTGCGATTCGCAGGACTTCCCGGAGGGTTGCGGCGGATGGGCGAGGTAGAGATGTGCGCTGGGGTCGACTTGAGGATTCCAGTGATACACCGCATTGCCGTGTTCAGTTGGACATGAACAAGTGGAGGAGTGTGACTACGCAGGGCTGAGGTGGCAGGCAGGTGGGGCGGCATGGCGCCGCGTGGGTTCCTGACCCGTCTGTGTCGAGACCGTTGGGCGTTCATCTTCTTGGTTCTTTCGGTAAAGTCACGTAGAAGGGAAATAATAAAATAATGAAAATAAAACATAATAAAATTATATAAAACATAACAAAATTATTTTATTATTTCCCTTCTACGTGACTTTACCGAAAGAACCAAGAATATGAATCCCTGCAGTCACGAAAGCTTTAAATCGAAATTTAACCATAGGGCGTTGTCTCCTCGCCGGCTTGGGATTTCACCGGGCACTCTGGTTTCCTCCCATGCGCACTCCACAAAGAAGGACCAGGCTTCAACATTCCATGGATAAACGAATAAGCAGCGCGTATTCATTGAGGTATTATATTTCACAACATCCGTGAAACCAAAAGTATACGTTCTAAAAGAGGTCCAAGTTAAGCGACAATAAAAAAAAACTTTAGTTTTTACAAGATTCCAACTTAAGATGTTTGTTGTTTTCTTTTACACAAAACGAATGCCGTGAGGGCATTGTTTTTCAATAAACAAACGCCTCGTGTACCACACGTCTCCGTGAGCAGCAGCCCTGAACCGGTCACGTATCCAGGGCGGTCCGTCTCTTGTCGGGCGTCTGCTGTTGACTCGCCACAAAGCGCCGCAGGCTGCTGCCGCTCCGCGCCGAGTCAGCTGCCATGGGAGTGTGACTCGGCCACGTGCTCTCCAACCACGGACCTGCCCTGCAACATTATTTCTGTGCATTTGGCAAAAAAAAAATTAACCCGTAAAAACAAAGTTTTTCAATCTAAATCCTTTATTTGCGTGGCGGCTAGAGTCCTCTCGTCCTCTGGCTTGAGATGGCTGCCACCTATGGGTCAGATGATTGTCTGCCAGTATTAAGCAATTGGTAATTAAATATTTAATTTGTTTTCCCTAAACAGTGTAAAATTTTTGAATTTTTTTTCACGAACATTAATTGTCTCGCACAACGAGTCTGTGTGCAAAATGTCAGCTCGATTGGATCACGGGAAGTGGGTTGAAAAACGACCGTAAGATTTGCACGGTCGTAAGCAAGCAAGCAAGCACGCAAGCACGCAAGCAAGCAAGCAAGCGAACTTAATATAAAGGATTTAAAAAGACGCGTCGTCATTCACTCACTTCCTCAAGCGCCACCTTGTGATGCAGTGATAATTTGGCACGATTTGGAGTCGCAACATTTCGTTTGTGGATCGATTGTAATGTTTCCTAAATTTTTATCTAAATTCAACACGACCGTTTAATTTGCATCTCTGTTGCATGAAGTTGTTAATAATTCATTATTTGCGTGTACCATGAGCGTACGAATCAATTTAAAAATAAATGAATCAATCTGTCGCTACGTGCCTCGAGATAAACAATTTATTTGTTTCGTGAACCATTGGCTGTGGCTGCATTTGCGCCCGTGCCAATTTACTGACACGGTTGTTCATGCCTTTACGATCTTCTGAAGTATGCCTTTTTGCAAAGCCTTGGGTGTGAATTGTTGAACAGTGAAGGTGACGACGGCGATTGGGTTCCTCTGACTGTCTGTACGGCACCGTGAAGTGTGACGCTTCACGCCGGATTACTGCTGCGGCCGTATGCTGCTGCATCTAATATCATCCTGTTGACCGCGACTCATTAGCGTTGAGCTACGGCCATTAGAAGGTCAATCCGCGCACGCTCTCGTGCATGTAGGCCTGCGTCCAGGGCTCATGGTTTTACTAGCGTTCATTCGATCATGTGCCAAGCTCCTTGGCACAAATCTGCCTCCGCTTCATAAACATGAATGTTGTACGTTGCTTGCCGTGCCGATTACAATGACAAGGCCCGAATGTTCGTGCTAGCATGATTCATCCCCTGCACCCCACTCTCAAGGCCCCCCCCCCACTCCCCGGTAGTTTGGTGTCAAGTAATTATTTTGTTGCTGATATGCCAGGTGCCACTGATTAGAATACTCGACCCAAAAGTTAAATCTCAGTTGGCGGTCCACTCAGCCTGTTTTGATACTTTTTGGGACGTCACCAGCGGTGTTAATCTACTTCAGGGCCACCGGCGGCCATGAGCGTCGCGTCCCGTTAGTTTGCGCGGGGTTGACGCGTCAGCTGCGAACCCGTGACGCCCCCATGGCTCCGTGTGACCTTTCCCCTGTGACCCCCGGTCCTGCGACACGGCTGCGGCGATGGCGCAGATCGGACAGACGGTGCTGATGCTGGCGGCCGAGCAGGGCTCCCTGGAGATCGTGCAGGAGCTCCTGAAGCGCGGCGCCAACTGCAACCTGGAGGACGACGTGAGTGGCGGTGCCGACACGCCCGAGGGGGCCTTGCCGAACCCGGCCACGGCGGCCGCAACCACCACCGCAACCGCCGTCACAACTACCGCCACATTACACACCCGCGCACGCATGCACACACACGCGCACGCATGCACGAGAGCAGTCGAACCGTAACAGACGGACAATTCTGTGAGTTGGTGAAGCGGAAACGCCGATGCGGCAGTTTTCGCGGTTAAACGTTGACCGCCGTCCACGGAAGGCCTGGGTTTTGTAGCATTGGTTAACTTTCAATGTACTTCCTTCACCGCTGACTTCTGATTACACGTAACGTGGAATTTATTTGGGCTGTGCTTTGAAACTTTAGTTGGTAAATGTGCAAAGGCGCGTGCTGTGGTGAGTAAGTTGTGAGGATTTCGGTTTCAAAAGATTCTTAATCTCATGAGTGCCTGAGAACGCCTGCACACCAATGCCTGTCGCAGTGCTGTGCAAGCAACCAATGAGATCATGGGACTTCCTTTGCCAGTACCAAAATATGAGAATAGGTTTTTTCCCCTTTTTTCTGGCAACAAAACAGGTGTTAAGATGCTAAAACACCAAACTGAAACCTTTTACAGAAGGCGGCCTCTGGTCTAACACCTTTTGAGACTAGGCTCCAAAGAAATCTGTCTTTGGTGTGGACCAAACAGTTTCAAAGACAATGCATATATTATCGTGTCTCTTAGAGTTCTCCGACTGTGCCACCTGAAGACGGAAGCTTGTGTTGCCTCCGAAACGTTGTGATTTAATTTATTTTAATTTTATTTTTTACCTACGTGACTTTACCGAAAAAAACCAAAGAGTATCAGAGTATGTTTTGTTGTTTGCATTCTGACCACAAGTATTGTGGTTAATGCAGACATGATTCCTTGTAAAAGGTTTCAGTTTGGTGTTTTAACATCTTAACTCCTGTTTTATTGCCAGAAAAGAGGGGAAACCTTATTCTCAACCACTGAGATCCTGGGATTCATTATTGGGCAGCCACCCAGGGTTAAACTGGGCTTTCGAGTGTAGCGAGTTGGTAATGACAGGAGGCGGCCTACTGCAGACACGCCTTGCCGCTGCTGTTGTCATCGCAGTAAAAATTCAAACCTGATCGCTGAGATCATTCGTCAGTGGTCGCTCCACCGTGTTCATACGTGCACGTACGAAATGGACTCCTGTTGCTGCTCCTGTATTTGTGCACTAACACTGCACGCGAGGGGGTGGAGTGGCTCACACCCTGCCTGGCCAGCTTTGTTTTACATATACACACGTCTTAGGTGTTGCACTTATCTTGCCAGCAGACGATTTGAAGTTGAAATCCTGAGCAGTGGATCATTTTGCCCATCATCACAATGGGATCGATAAACATCGGTGCCATTTGTAAAAATATTCAGTGGTTGCCTTTTCTGATAAAAAAAAAAGCTGTCCCCCATCATGGTAATGTGGAATTGCCTCTGCTGACCCCTGGGCAGCCAGGAGGGATGATCACTCACGCCATGCTCGTTTTTTATTTTGCAAGGTAAGGCTCACTGAGCTATGTAGCTCTTTCTAAGAAGCGACCTGGCTATCACAAATGATAGCTCAACGAAGTGGCTTATCGCGTGGAAATTTATAGCAGCCAAATGCTCGAAATACATGTTTCTAAATGTGGATGGGAAAAAACGGAAGACCCGGATAAAAATCCACAGAACCACGGGGAGAACATGCAAACTCCAAATATACAGCAGCAGGCGTGCAAAATGTCAGCTCGATTGGATCACGGGAAGTTGGTTTAAAAACGACCGAAAGATTTGCACGGTCGTAAGCGCGCAAGCAAGCAAGTGAACTTAATATAAAGGATTTAAAAACTGGAGGACTCGGAAATGAATCCACATGACCACCGGGTGAACATGCAAACTCCAAATATACACAGCAGGCGTTAAGGGTCAGGATCGAACCCACGACCTCCTGCACACCAGGCGAGGGCGTTAACATCTCGCCATAGCGTCACCGTGAACACTTTGCACGCTTTTGCGAGTCCGGGAACGTCGCTGTGGCGATTGGCGGTGCGTAACGGAGTCGCGTACCCGTGTCCGCCCGCGGCTCTCGTTTCAGGACAGCTGGACTGCGTTGATCTCGGCGTCCAAGGAAGGCCACTTGGACATCGTACGAGAGCTGATACAGAACAACGCGGATATCGAGCACCGAGAGATGGTACGGCACCGATGGTTTGTGTGCACGCGTTCCGTAGCGAGTTAATCCTCGGGTTTCGACGGGGCCGGCACGCCACACCGGCACTACTAAGATCACCAAATATGTACGGTAAGTCCTCGCTCAATGCGCGGTGTTCACACTGTGACACTTTCCGCACAGCGTAGACCGCACACCAATATAATGTGGAACGTGCACACTCCGTTATAACCCGGTTTCTGAGCGGTTGACAAACTTCTTTCTTGAGCTGCGCGGCTGAGTAGTGTGATAAAGTAAGCGGAATGATGCGGTAAGGCGGCGTACCCACAGTTATTTGTCCCGCCATCTTGCTGTGTGTGCAGTACATCGTATCTCGCCAAACTTTATCGTTAACTTATTTATGGGCACATTTTTTCTGCTTATCGCGTTTTTCGCTTGACGTGGCACTTTTCAGGAATGCACCTACCGCATTAAACGAGGACTTACTGTACACCAGAACCTTTCAAAACGGTTCCTATTCCTACACTGTGACGTTTCCGCGGAGGTGAATCGGCAGGGAATGTGGACTACAGGACGAATAGGTTTTAGCCAGGGATTTCCAAATTTACATTGTGACCACTGGAATAGTTTCTGGGTCCAGGGTTTATCAAACGTCTGAAGTCGCAGCTTGCCACAATACAGGTTTTCGTGTTTACCAAACATCAGGTGCTTGGAACAGAGTACGTTACGGTTGCTAAATGTGCAAAGGCGTACTGTGGTGAGTAGTGGGATTGCAGTTTTTGTTGAGAGGAGTAGATGCACACCCAGGCAATGTCTTGTGTCTGTTGGGTACAAGTTTGAAGCGTCGTTGCTGAGAAGAGCGAACTGACCCGGGTGAAGTGGTGACTTTCAAAGCCATCATGCCCTCCAGTGACGTCACTCGCGTACGCCTGCTGGACATGGTGCTGCGTTGCGTTATGACTACACACACAGACGAGGGAGTGTCCGAGTTTAATCTAAGGAATCTACACACGCCTTCTGCCTGAAACTGCTCATTTGCTGACTGCACTCTGGTTTCTTCCTACTTGTCAACAATATACCCAGTAAAGCCGTTGACTAAACATTTCAAGTAGAAGCATAGCTGGAAAACACATCTTTCAAGACGTGAGCGAGACTTTGCCGATTTGAGGTTTCACAAAGGGAATCGAAAGTGTCGTCCTTTATTGTGTGACTAGGATTATTCACAGAATCACAATCTTTTAGTTATCCCCAGAAGGAATCCGAAGATCTATGAAGCTCTTTTTCTCGGACGTTCAAGTTACAACAACGAGCGGTGCAAAAAGCGATCGGCGTGCAAATACCACAAAAACGATAGGAGTGTACGGTGGTGGTGGCGAATGGCAGGGTGAGAAAAGCAAGAGTGTTTGACGCTGCATTTGTTCAACCAATCCAGGGAGGCAGTGCACCACTGCCAACGCAGTATGACAAGATAACGTTGACAAAATAATCGATTCTTGAATCCCGTCGTGAACTCGAATCGTCGCAGTTCATTGAACACCTTGCGAGTGAATCGATGCGGCCTTTAACAGCAATCCCCCCCCCCCTCCACCGTTCCCCGCTACCCCACCCTCTCTCCTTCTTGAGGTCTTTTCCCCTCACCTTCCCATAAAAAAATAGACCCCGCTCGCCCAATCTCCACCTTACTCCTCCAAAACTTAATGTGCACAGCGTTTGGGACTAAGCTCCGCAAAGTTTCTGTACCCCCCACCCCACGACCGACCAATGTCGCGATTGAAATATTACGAGAACATAAAACAGCGATTTCCCCCGAGCCGAGTCCTCATCGTAGCCCAGAACCCCTGACCGCCGTGCCCCGCGTCGCGACTCTGAATCTGTGTCGGCGGCGTGTTAGGGCGGCTGGACGGCGCTCATGTGGGCGGCCTACAAGGGACGCACGGACGTGGCAAGGCTGCTGCTGGATCACAAAGCCAACCCCAATGTCGCCGGGCAGGTGGGTCTGGGGAGAGGGGCGGTTCGAAGTGTGACGTGATTAGTGGGATCGATGCGATGCAATTTAATGCGTTCGTTCTTTTGTTTCGTTTCGATGTGTTTTCTGCGTCAAAGATTCTGTCTCGCGTGTGTCGCGTCTCATTGATTACCATAAGCCTAAAGGTAACGTGTTTGTATAAGTTTCATGAAGTTTGCATGCATCATGAATGATTTATTTTCACACTCGTAATTTGATGCCTGTGCGGTGACTCCCAAACATCTATTCCTATTGATCCATCGATGCACTCCTAACGCTTAGCCCCGTGAAGGCGGTTTGACCGTCGCCACTGGAGTTTGAAATTTGCTGATGGTGTGGCACGATTTCTGACATTGCCACCACGCGCCGCCCCCTGCTCCCCACAGTTCAGCATGTACCCCGTGACGTGGGCAGCGGGACGTGGCCACAACGAGATCGTCAATATGCTGCTCAACGCCGGCTCCAAGAGCAACTGCTGTGACAAGGTGCCACCAGCACCAACATCACAGCCATCACGGCCACCGCCACCATCGCCGCGACCAACGCCGCTGCCATTGCTACTACCATCGCAACCACCCCCGCCATCACCACCGCCATTGCCGCCGCCGCCACCACCATTACCACTACCACACACACCTCCACCACCACTATTACCACCACCATCACTGCCACCAACACCACCGCCACCACCATCGCCACCATCACTGCCATCACTTGCACTTCCATTCCCGTCATTACCACTACTACCACAGCCACCACCACAACACAGGTGAATTATACTGCATGTTCCCAGCCTCCAATTTGCGGAGCTGCCAACTTGGGCTGAAAAAGAGAGATGCTGCTGCTGCTGTTGTTTATTCGTGCGTTGGCTGTGCATTATGGGTCTCTATTACGTAGTGAAGCATTGAAAGATACAGCCATGTCTCGATGTATACCACAATAGCACCCTCGCACAGGAGACAGTCGGGCCCAGTGAAAGGAAGGGAAATTAAAATCCATTATGGTAACCACTGGAGGTACGAGTTAGGATTTAAAATTGGAATGTTTCAGTTGTGTGTGTGTGTATTGCCAGGGCTGCCAGCTTTGGTGAGTTTGTGAGCATATATTTCAGCTGTTGTGAAATTTGATTCAGAAAAACAACTTTTCAAAATGTTGTCTTTTTTTTGGACTTGACTTCAGCAAATTAACTCTTGTAGGCTCCTGTGTCGAAGAGTTTGGGCACTATTTATATTTTATATATCATTTGGCTGCTCTGGTGTCTGCTGCCCACAACTGACGCGTGCGCACTGTCCGCTCCTGTTGCATGTCTCCGTGTCTCTTCAGTACGGCACGACGCCTCTGATCTGGGCGGCCCGGAAAGGACATCTCGAGTCGGTGCAGCTGCTCCTGCAGCATTCTGCGGACGTCAATCAAGTCGGCGCGGTAAGTAACTGGGCTCCAGCCTCGCGTGCGAGTCTGCAAGTGCGGGCGCCACGGTGGCGAGATGTTTACTACCTCGCCCGGTATGCAGGAGGTCGTGGGTTCGATCCCGACCCTGACGCCTGCTGCTGTATATTTGGAGTTTGCATGTTCTCCTTGTGGTCGCGTGGATTTTTCTCCGGGTCCTTCGGTTTTTCTCCCCACATTTAGAATCAACATGCGTTTAAAGTATTTGGCTGCTATAAATTTCCCCATGATAAGCCACTTTCTTGAGCTATCTTTTGTGGCCAGGTCACTTCTGAAAAAGAGCTATGTAGGTCAGTGGGCCTTCCCTGGTAAAATACAAATAGTAGTTTAGTAGTTAGTGGACTGAACTACGAATCCCGGCGACGCGAGTTAAACCTGAACAAGTCCCGGGCTTCCCCTAGGTCAACACAGCCTCAAATCGGTGCCTGGTGCGGTGGGGAAAAAAACCCATCAGCACTGGGGAGACAAAGGCGGCCTTCACAAGTGCTCGCCGACAGCGCTGTGTGTTAAAGGCTCCACCGGGCGGGGGGGGTTGGTGCGGATCTTTGTCTTTGTGCTGCAGAACTCGATGACGGCGCTGATCGCGGCGGTGAGGGGCGGCTTTGAGAGCGTCGTGGAGGAGCTGCTCACCAAGGAGCCCGACGTGAACCTGACCGACAAGGACGGCAACTCGGCGCTCATGATCGCCGCCAAGGAGGGCAAAACGGAGATCGCTCGGGACCTGCTGGACGCCGGCGCCTACGTCAACACGCCCGACCGGGTGCGCCGGACACGCGACACGCCAATCGAGAGCGGGTCCCTCGAGCGGCCGCGTGGAGTGGTGGCGCCTGAACCCCCACCCCCCCTCCCCACCCAACCGCGCACAAGCGGTGTGCGAACACGGTTTCGGTTCGACGTGGCGTCCATTTATAGTCGGTGTTCGTCGACCAATTTGATGCGCGGGTCCGCCCCCTATCGTCCGCACACGTTGGTGCACGCACACGCTGGTGCACGCGCACGCTGGTGCACGCACACCGTGTAGTGCACGCACACCGTGTAGTGCACGCACACCGTGTAGTGCCTCGGTATTGGGTTTCGCTTGAATGCGTTGTGTTTTGCCAAAACTACAACAACAAACAACAACGTGAAAATAATTAGAAAATTATTTGTTGTATCTGAAGAGTGAATCTGGCCAGTTCATGACCTTATTAGGGGTTGACTTAACCCATCATTCATTTGGGAATGATAAAATAACTAGCAATGAGTGGAAAAACGCGCTCGCGTTTTTCCACTGCAGAAGCCGAGCCGTGCCGCTGACGTCACACGCATCACAGGAGTCGCAAGCATCACCCCTGGCCCTACTTGGTGCCTTGTCAGATTCAGAAGTCTTGCGCTGGTGGAGAAGCGGTGTTTGACTTTGGGGTAGGGTGTTGTTCTTGCAGGACGGCTGGCCTTATGCATGTGTGTGTGTGTGCTGTACAACTGGTGTGGCGGTGCCGCAGTGGTTAGCGTGCCGCGCTAAGAACCCGGTGACCCGGGTTCGATTGCCGCTCACGGCAACACCAGTGACGATTATCTGAACCGGTCATGGGCCTCCCCTAGGTCGACTCGGCCTCAAAATGAGTAACTGGTGCAGGGTGTAAACATCGCCACGAGGGAGACAAATTCGGCCCGGCGTGGTGTTGGCCACCCACCCGCTCGTGTGCCGTGCCGGCCTTCGTAGGCGCTCGCTAACAGCACTTGCCCCAAAAGTATGTTAAGGCTTTCTTTGTTGTACAGCACGGGGATACGGTGCTGATCTGGGCTGTGAAGGGCGGCCACCCGGACATCGTGCGGGCGCTGGTGGGGAAGCTGGCTGACGTGGATGTCCGTGGAGCGGTGAGTCACAGGGCGCTACCGTTAGCCCATGCTTTGCATCCCCACTCGTGCCAGGTGGTGGGACACGGTTAGGGCAGCAGATCTTGAAGGCCTTTCTAAACTATAACTAAACTTCTTTTAATGTTAGCTTGTAAGGCCCACTGAGCTATATAGCTCTTTTTCAGAAGCGACATGGCCACAAATGATCGTTCAACTAAGTGGTTTATCGCGTGGAAATTTATAGCAGCCAAATACTCCAGACGTGCAACCACGGGGAAAACATGCAAACCCCAAATATGCGGGCGTCAGAGTTGGATTTGAATCTACGACCTTTTGCGTACCGTGGCGAGATAGTTAACATCTCACTCCTGTGGCGCTTCATCTCATGGAGGGAAAATTGAATTGGTGAGCTGTGGTTGAGGTATCAACGGCTTTGGCCATGATGGCATCTTGAGCTCATCTCCTCCACCAGTTCCACATCCAATCAGGGATTGACTACAGTATCGCTCTCACCATCTTTAAAATCCTTGACGGACCCCCTCGATTACATCACACAGTGACCTGGCCCCCTGCCACACAACACGCCCCCCCCACCCCCCCATCAGCAACCCACTCATCTCCTCCCCTCTTCATCCCCCCCACCACAATGTGGGACACTTCACACCACACCCCCACGCACACCCCAGCCCGCACACCTCACTTGGCTCGTATCCTTGTTGAGGCCGGAACTCCGCACCATGCACCACGTTGTCTGTCGCATGCGCCGAATAATTTTTTGTTGTTTCACTTTAATTGTGGAAAAAAAACGAATCGTCCTTTACTCTTCCCCTGTGTCCTCTGCCCCAATAACCGACACCACCAGTTACCTCCGCTACTTGGATTCTGGCTCGCCGTTTCTCCTCTGCTGCCTGCTGCCTTTTCTGTTGAATGCACAAGGCTTGGTCGGACAGGGTCCTAGTTGCCCAGTCGATCTGTCGCTAAAACAGTGTGTGTGTGTATACTCGCTAACAGAACTTGCTCCAAGTCTGCTGGGGGAGCGGTAGTGTAGCGGTTAGCGCACTACGCTATGAAACCAGCGACTCGAGTTCGATTCCCGCTCACTGCCAACATCGGTGATGTATATCTGAACTGGTCCTGGGCCTCCCCTAGGTCGACTCAGCCTCAAATGAGTACCCCGGTGCGGTGTGTAAACATCGCCACTGGGGATACTATAGCTGCCGTACGCGGTGCTGGCCACCCACCCCCTAGTGTGCCGTGCCGGCCTTTCATAGGTGCTGCTCGCTAACAGCACTTGCCCCAGTAGTCTGTTGAGGCTATATATGGTGTAATCTTTGTCTATGATGTGCGTGGGGGACAGGAAAACAAGACCGCGCTGTACTGGGCCGTGGAGAAGGGAAACTCCACCATCGTGTGTGACATCCTCGAGTGCAACCCCGACACTGAGATCCACACGAAGGTGAGGTGGGCGCCGCGCTTCCGTTGGTTTGCAAAAAAAAATGATACCTCGGGATACCCCTTGAGGATGTGGAACCTCTCGTTTGCACTGCGGGTCCACGCTGTCGATTGGCACGTACGTAGCAAACGCGTACCGACGCTGGCGCCAAATGTGTATTTTTACGGTGAATTTAACACCCAGTCGAACACACGGGTAGATACGTAAATATTTCAACGGTTCACACCGCCGGTTCACGTAAAATGTACTCTACCTGTATAGAAAATTTGTCGTTGTCGAAGCGTCTCTGCGTTAAAATTTGCGTTCTTGACTGGGATCCTGGACTGCCGCGCATGGCAGGGCTCGGTGATTAATCCCGCGGCCTGAATCGCTGCTTAGCAATGGAATGTTGACACCCGATGAATGACAATACATTTACAATGCATTTTCTTTGGGTCTTTCGGTAAAGCCACGTAGATAGAAAAGTAACGTTTCGATCGCAACACAAGCAATCGTCGTCAGGTGAAAAATATAGCGGGGAGAGCTGCTGAGGCAGGAAAGATATATGGCGGGGAGCACTACTAAGGCAGAGGGTGTTATAAAGGTTTGAGATGGGTGTAGCCTAAGGGTCTATCTACGTGGCTTTACCGAAAGACCAAAATAATATGAATTCCTGCAGTCTCGAAGATTTACAATACATTTACAATACATTTACAATACGTTTACAATACATTTACAATGCGTTTCCTCTCATTCCGGGAAGACTGCACTGGGCGTCGTCACGACTCGTTCACCAGGGTTGTAGATTTAGCGAATGTGATTTTTCCCACTTCAATACGAATGCCCATCCTAACTCCCCTCAGCTGCAAACTATCGCAGATATTCCGTTGAGGTTTAAACTCATCTCCTCTTATTCATGGCAAAAATGATAACTGGAAGGTTGTTACCTTTATTTGAATGAAACTCGCAGTATCCACGTTTATATTATTACTATCCTTAATGTCACGGGCAGCGGGATGAGTCAATCCCAAAATTCCGGGATGAACCAATACCAAACTTCCGGGATGAAATGTGCATTGGTCAGACCACCTGGATGATAGGTGTCATGGCTAAGTTGGTTGTGGATTAAATAAACTCAACGCATTAGTCGGTGATATTTGTTGAGTTTTGTTGTTATTTGCACACGTGCACCGATGTAGATGCAGAGCAATCACTACAATTTCACATTCAGGTGGTCAAGGCAGATAATGGCGTCGGGTGTAGCGGAGTGTATCGCTCTGATGTCTCCTTTATGATTATGTTTGCGAGATAATCTCACTTCGCCCGGGAGAGCCCCTCAATGTTCAGTTGGAGGAGGATCCTTGTCCCGGGGGCCCATCTGGCGCGTTGTTTGGCCCTGAACAGGGCCGTCGGCGTGGCTTGTGTTGTTGTTGCTCTTGAGAGCGAGAGATCGATGATCGATGTTCGGTCGCCGCTTTGAAGGCATTCCGTGATTTCTCACCTAACAGAGTGGGCCGCGTGAAGGCTCCCATCTTCCGCTCCAGTATCGCCAAATAATGATAAACGGAGTTCTACTATTCTATTAAATGATTGGCGTACGTTGACTGAAACCGCCCGATTGTGAGCGTTATTCACTGAATTGCTGCTGCATCTGCACGGGATAAGGGAGCTCCGTCGTTGTCTCTGTTGGCAGGATGGCGATACGCCTCTCATCAAGGCCACCAAGATGAGGAATGTTGACATCGTCCAGCTGCTGTTGAACAAGAACGCCAAGGTTTCTGCTGCCGACAAGGCGAGTACCGTGTGTGCAAGGCGCTCGTGCGTGCAGGGTGGCGGAGGGGGGAGGTGAGCAGGTCACCCAAGTCGGGCGTTGGAGTGGCACCCAGAGGTCAGATAAATGACCTTCGGAGCAGACCTTGGGGGTCAGGAGTCGGGTTTCGACATTGGAACAACGAGGCAGTTGCATGATTTCGGATCTTAATGTGCATAAATAACGCATCATGATGATCGCATGCACGATTTGACGACCACACCGTGAGCGTGCGAGCTTGTTCGAGTCGGCGAATCGATGCGTCGCCCCACGTGCTTTCATGGCGGTGGCTAACGCCAATGGCTAACGGCGGTGGCTAACGCCAATGGCTAACGGCGGTGGCTAACGGCGGTGCCGTCGGGCCGGAACTGGGCATGCCAGAACGGGGACACGTCGCTGCACATCGCGATCCGCGGGCGCAGCCGCAAGCTGGCCGAACTGCTCCTGCGCAACCCCAAGGACGGCCGGCTGCTCTACCGGCCCAACAAGGCGGGCGAGACGCCCTACAACATCGACTGCGGCCACCACAAGAGCATCCTCACGCAGATCTTCGGAGCACGTGAGCGCCGCTGTCTTACCCTTTCGTTGTTTTTTTCTACGAACGCTTATGTGTCTGGGCGAATTTGAAAGCGCTTGCGTACGCGTCGGCTCTGTTCGTCCGCAGTGAATGTAGCGGCCTCGAGTGGCTGAAAAGCCAAGGTCACACTCGCAGCACGCAGAGCGTTTCTTGCCGCAAATGAACCACAATAGCTTTGCTCATCTCGTCAAGGAGCATACACCATCGCACGAGCTCCGGTCACGTTCGCAGCAGCGTATTTTGGCTGGCCATCGAACAAAGGCAGTCGCCGCATTGCGCATACTTTCAGATGCCCTTCTGCGGCCGTCTGGAATGCTCTTCCGATATTAGGTAGCCACTGGAGCTATGCACTTTCTTTTTTTAATATACAGTTTTTATTGAGGTATGCACACAAGTGCGGTACAATGCGCGCGGGGGGTTTATGAAGCTATGCACTTTTAAATCATCATCTCGATTGAAAACTAATTTCTTTAGAATTGCTTTTTGACTTTAGTCTGTTGTCCTTCCCCCGTACTTCTGATTAGCACGGTTGGCTGCGTACGGTGCGAAAACAGTTCAGCATAGATACATACAGTACATACATACGCGTGCGTGCGTGCGTGCGTGCAGGGCACCTGTCCCCGAACGAGGCGGACGGCGACATGCTGGGCTACGACCTCTACAGCAGCGCGCTCGCCGACATCCTCAGCGAGCCCACCATGCAGCCACCCATCTGCGTGGGCCTCTACGCTCAGTGGGGCAGCGGCAAGTCCTTCCTGCTCAAGAAACTCGAAGGTATCGGCCCTGCCGCTCGCGACCTCTCCCGGGGGGCGTCCTCCCCCCCGGCTAGTGTTCTTTGTTGCAAGGCCTGCGCGGGCCACTGGCGGCCCCCTGGGGGCCTTTAGCGCTGCCCCTGACACACCCCCGTCGCGCCGTCAAACCCATCGGTTTAAATATGCGGGGGCCCTCATGCTGATGTCTTATCGGCGAAAGTGTGGCCCCCTCACCCTGAAAATTAGTGAAGAACACTGCCCTAGGCCAACTCCGCCTCGATGGGTACCGGGTGCGGTCAGGGCGTTGTGCCGCCTGACCGCTCGCCCACCCAACCGCCCGCCGCCCCGTGCGCCGTGCTGGCTTTCATCGGCGCTCGCTGTGACAGCGCTCGGCCGGACTTAGGGTCGAGTCTGCGGGTTGGGGGGGGGGGTACCTTTGTCTCGCGCGTGCGTCCGCCTCACGAGTGCGCGGGCGCGCCCTTGTCTCCGTCGCGCCGCAGACGAGATGAAGACGTTTGCCGGCCAGGAGATCGAGCCTCTGCTGCGCTTCTCCTGGCTGCTGGTCATGCTGACGCTGGCCTTCGCGTCCGTCCTGGGCCTCGTGCTCGCCGTCACCGTCGACCCCAACCTGGGCCTCGCCGTGGCCTTCAGCCTCCTGGCCCTCTTCTACATCTTCCTCGGTGAGCGTCGCTGCAGCGACACCGGACTCCGCGATGTGCCCACGGCAGCACACCTCACTCTCTGCTGGCGCCTCTCGCTCCTACGTTGCGTTTGCACTGCGTTTTTTTCCCGATTCGTGTGTCTTTATGTGAGTGTTAGACGGTCGCGTAGCGGTTAGTGCGCTGCGCTACGAGCCTGGCGTCCCGGGTTCGATTCCCGCTCACGGCCAACACCGGTGACGATTATCTGAACCGGTCCCGGGCCTTCCCTAGGTCTATTCAGCCTCAAATGAGTACCTGGTCCGATGTGTAAACATTGCCACGAGGGAGAAAAAGGCGGCCAGGCTTGGTGTTGAACACCCACCCCCTCGTGTGCTGTGCCGGCCTTCATAGGTACTCACTAGCAACACTTGCCCCTACAGTCTGTTACAGGCTATACGGGGGATCTTTGTCTTTTTGTTAGACAAAAATATAGATATTCTTGGTTCTTTCGGTAAAGTCACGTAGAAGGGAAATAATTAATAATAAAACAATAAAATTATCACGACGTTTCGATTGCAACACAAGCAATCATCATCAGGTGTGAAAACCACAGCAATGTATTACATTTTCTTATTATTTCCCTTCTACGTGACTTTACCAAAAGAACCAAGAATATGAATCCCCTGCAGTCGCGAAAGCTTTAAATCGAAAAATATAGATCTTACGTGCACCTGTAAGTAACTTTTTTTCGGGGCCTTTTGCTCCCACATTATGTTTGTGTGTTTACGTAATTTTGAGACTAAAATATATATACTTACTTGCACGTGTACCAAACGCCAGTTACAAACAGAAAATCTCACCGGCCAGAATTCCAATTCGGCTGTTCACCCAGCCCATTTTAATCATCTCGCCGGAGTGTATAAAATAGGTACTGCTTCGTGAAAAGTCCCCCGGTGGTTGTCCTCCCGAGGGACAAGTCAAGGGGTAAGGGACGTTCACTTCTCGCGCAGCGGCCGCCTTTCGCAATGAGTGGCGATCCCACGCTCATATGAGCTTGGGATTTAACCTTTTCAATACAGTTAATAACGTGATAAATTATATTGGTTATTTGAGTCATTTGATTTTTTACAATTAAGCGATTGACAAATATTGAGACATCTTTGTGCAACTGACTTTTCTGAGCAAGTTAAACGAGCCAGTGAATTTATTGATGCTTCTGAGCCTTTTCTGTGCCTCACTAAGTCACTTACCCACACACTTATGCACTGACTTGCAATGGCTCGCTCGCTCGCTCATTCACTCACTATCTTTCTCACACTTTCAACCACTCGTGCACTCGCTTGCTCGGTCACTCGCGCACGCACGGCAGCCACCCACTGCCTTACCCACCCTGCCAACCACCCACCCACCTACCCACCCACTCAGTCGCTCGCTCGGTCGCCCGTTCGCTCGCCCAGTTATTTGCTCACTTGTTCATTCATTCTCTTACTGAACTCTTTGCCTGCTGCACCTCACCCCGTCGCCCCCCCCCCCCCCCCCCGCAGTGGTCGTCTACTTTGGAGGGCAGCAGGAGCGCGAGGGATGGACGTGGGCATGGCTGGCGAGCACGTGGCTGGCACGGCAGCTGTGCTACGTGGAGCTGCTGCTGCAGCTCGTGTTCACCAACCCTCCCGAGCTGCCCGAGCAGACCACGCGGGCTCTGCCCGTCAGGTGAGGAGAGTCGGGCGGGGCAAGGGGGCAGCAAGTCAGCCATCGAACAATAGATGGTCACCACTACATCGCGCGCGCACGCTTTAAGATGCGCTTCTTCGGACGTCTGAAACGCTCTTCCTTCTGATAATAGGAAGCCACTGGAGACTTGCACTTTTAAATCATCTACATTGAAAACTAATTTGTTTAGAACTGTTTTTTGTGTTTAGTTTGTTGTCCTACCCTCCGTACCTCCTATTAGCACGGTTGGCTATGTGTGGTGCGAAAGAAGTTGAACATACATACATGGTGAGGGAGGGCTGGGCAAGGTAGCCTCAACATCGGCCGTGATCTATCCACCACTGAATGAAACTAAACTTAAACAATATTTATGTTACCAGGTAAGGCCCACTCAGCTATATAGTGCTTTTTCAGAAGGGCCCTGACCACAAATGATAGCTCAATAAAGTGGTGTATCACGTGGAAATTTTATAGCAACCAAATATTTTAAAGGCATTTTTAGAGTATTCCGAGGGAAAAACCACGGGGAGAACATGCAAACTCCAAATATACAGCAGGCGTCAGGGTCGGGATCGAAACCACGACCTCCTGTATACCAGGCGAGGGAGATGACATCTCGCCACTGCGGCGCTCAGCGGTGCCCCTCATTGCAGAAGCACAGCATGGGAAAGAGTTGTTGACCCAAAGCGAATTCTGGACAAAAAGTTTTTGTGTGATGCCACGAGCAGAGTGTGTGAACTGCGAAGTTCACTCACGTCTGTCGTTGCGTCTCTATGAGTTGATTTGTGGTACTGGTCTTGTCCATAGTGATCCTCGACAGGGGTAGAGCGGTAGACGCTGTCCCGAGTTCAGTCCTAGTTAATGGGACCTCCTTTGCCAGTACTAAAATATACTAATAGGGTTTTTCCCTTTTTTTCTGGCAACAAAACTGACACCTTCTGCAATGAATCATGCTTACATTAACCACAATACTTGCAGTCAAATGCAAACATCTGGTCGAACACCGTATGAGACTAAAGAAAGCTGTCTCTGGTGTGGACCAATCAGTTTCAAAGACAATGCATAAATTATCAGAGTATTGTTTGCATTTGACTGCAAGTATTGTGGTTAATGTAAGCATGATTCCTTGCAAAAGGTGTCAGTTTTGTTGCAAGAAAAAAGGGGAAAAACCCTATTAGTATATTCAGTCCTAGTTGTTCGATCGACTCAAGCAAGTGCCAAGTGGTGGAACCCCGGCTTACACGCTCGGTAAGCCGATGCAAGGCTTCGACAGTGTGGCTCAAGTCTGTCCAACTCCTCATGGAGTCTCTTGAATCTCCGATTAGCACAGTTGGCTATGTACGGTGCAAAAGAAGTTCAGTATACATACCTACAATTGACTGAACCCAACAGCGCATCGATCAAGTTGACTTACTCGGCGGTATCGCTAAGTGTGTGTGTTGGGAGAAGTAGTGTAGCAGTTAGTGCGCTGCGCTACGAACCATTGACCAACACCAATGACGATTATCTGAACCGATCCTGGGCCTCTCCTAGGTTAATTCAGCCTCAAAGGAGTACCTGGTGCGGTGTATAAAAACGTCGCCACTGGGGAGACAAAGGCGGTCGGGCGTGGTGCTGGCCACCCACCCTCTCGTGTACCGTTCCGGCCTTCATAGGTGTTCGCTAACAGCACTTGCCCCTACAGTCTGTTAAGGCTATATGGGGGATCTTGTCTTGTAGTGTAGCGGTTAGTGAGCTGCGCTACGAACCATTGGCCAGCACCGATGACGATTATCTGAACCGATCTTGGGCCTCTCCTAGGTTAACTCAGCCTCAAAGGAGTACCTAGTGCGGTGTATAAAAACATCGCCGTGGGGAGACAAAGGTGGTCAGGCGTGGTGCTGGCCACCCCACCCCCTCTTGCGCCGTACCGGCCTTCGTAGTTGCTCGCTTGTAGCACTTACCCCCAAACATTCATGTGCTCGCCCTCTCACACAGATCATCCATGTGCCCGTGTCCACCAGGTTCCTGTTCACGGACTACAGTCGGCTGACGAGCGTGGGCGGCGAGACGTCGATCGCGGAGATGGTCGCCACGCTGTGCGACGCGTGCGAGCGCGAGTTCGGCTTCCTGGTGACGCGCCTCTACCGAGTCTTTCGCACCGAGAACACTCAAGGCAAGCGCGGCCAGACACACCCCCCCCCCCGGCCACCCTGCTTTTCTCGCGCTACTTCTCCCACCGCGACTCTCTAATCTTGGGAAGTGATGTGTTTGCGAGATGTTAACTGCCTCACCTGGTATACGGGAGGTCGTGGGTTTAATCCCGACCCTGACAATGCCTGTATTTGGAGTTTGCGTGTTCTCCCCGTGTTCTCGTAGATTTTTCTCCGGGTCCTCCTGTTTTTCCCTCCACTTTTATAATCGACACGCGTTTAGAGTGTTCGGCTGATATTAATTTCCACGTAACAAACCACTTCGTTGAGTTATCATTTGTGGACAGGTCGCTTCTGAATAAGAGCTATACAAATACAGCTCAGTGGGCCTTAACTGGTGAAATAAAAGTGGTTTAGTTTAAATTGTGAGAGTAACAGATTTAAACTGGCTTCGCAAATGCAGGTAAAAAATATGGAACTTAGTTGGTGGCTGTGCAGCTCAGAGGGCTAAGGCTGTTTCACAACATTAGCTTGGCGCCACTGAGGCTCTGGGTTTGAGTCGGGGTTTCAGCCACACGTGGCTAAACATCGTCTTTAAGTGTACCAATGAAACGTGTTCAGAGTCTAAAAACGAAACGCGTCTCAAGACGCAAGATGCTCAACGGGTCAACCACCTCAGCGTAAACAATGTCGCTAAGTCAACGGCACCAACAACCCGAGTTGGGGAGGGTGGCTCGGCACACCGCTTGTTCGCCGTCTCGCCCACCGTAACCTCGCGACGCGGGGCGGCGGTTCGTGCCGCGGTGCATTAAACTCACGACTCCACGACATCTTGAATTCGTGCGTGGAGTCAGACAGGGGGGGGGTGGTGGTCGTGGGGTAAACGTTAGCGGGGTGGGTGACGTTTACGACGGAGTTGGCGCAGGGTCAGAGGGGGTCTTTCTCCACATCGCCCGTGATCGTCGCCCTCCCCCCCTCCCCGCGCGCCCCCCCTCCCCCCCCCCCGTCGGTCGGCCCCCCCGCGCAGGCAAGAAGGGCGTGGGCCGCTGGAAGAAGTCGTGCTGCCTGCCGTCGGTGCTGCTCATGGCGCTGGTGCTGGGCTGCGTGGTGGCGCTCGTCGTGCTGCTGGCGGCCGTGGAGGCGCACACGGACGTCCGTCTCCGCGGGGCGCTCATCGCCGTCTCGTCCGTCGTGGCGATGGCGCTTGTCGCCAAGGCCCCCATGGCGTGGCAGGTGCTGGTCTCTCTGCTGCGCTCGCAGCGCCAGCGGCTGCTGGCGGCCGCCGCTTCCTCGCACAACAAGCTCAAGATGGAGGGGTTCATGAAGGTGCGTGTGTGTGTGCGTGTGTGTGCGCGGGTGTGTGGGTAATTCGTGACTGTGCGTCTGCCGGTCATCTCAGTCAGTCAACCCAAGGCACCTGGGTCTGTCCCGTCACCTCCTGCCAGCGGGTGTTCAACACTTCACGTGGCCTCAAAGTGCACATAGCCTGGCACAAGCGCCGATGTGACAGCACCGCCACTTAGTGGCGAATGGCGATTGTTGTTGATTGTGTGGGTAATTTCTGCACTACAAACTCGGCGACCCGCTCACGGCCAACACTGGTGACGATTACTTGAACCGGTCCTGGGCCTCCCGTACGTCCACTCGGCCTCAAATAACTACCTTGTATAGTGTGTAAATATCATCATTGGGGAGACGAAGGCGGTCGGGAGTGGTGTTGGCCGCCCACCCCCTCGTGTGCTGTGCTGCGCCTTCAGAGATGCTCGCTAACGACACCTGCCCCAACAGTCTGTTCAGGGTATCCGTGTGATCTTTGTACGTGTATGTGCCACGTGTGTGCGTGATCAGGCAGACCCCGCGACTCTGCCTGTTTTGCGTGCATTGCACTCGTCTTGCGTGTAACTGCGTGCCGGGGTCGTGTGTTTGCCCGCAGGTGCTGAAGTCGGAGGTGGATTTGATGGCCAAAATGACGAAGACCTTGGATTCGTTCACTCAGTACCAGACCCGGCTGGTGGTGATCGTGGACGGGCTCGACACGTGCGAGCAGGACAGAGTTCTACAAATGCTGGACACGGTGGGGTGATATTTGGTTTCTCAACACTTCAGGCCGAATCTCTCTGCTTCTTTTAGCAGCACCAGAGCTCGGAGGCTCATTGTGTGCATGTGTCGGAGCGCTGGGTCACTCCAACAACAACAATGGAGGTGAAGAGGAACGATGCTCACAACAACGAGTGGCTTAATCACAGCGAGTTGGCACAGTAGGGGGCACAGCTGCTGCATCTGCCAGTCATCTCAGTCGGTTAACCCATGGCACCTCGGTTTCTACCGTGGCCTTCTGTCAGCAGAGAGCCTTCGACACATCACGTGGCCTCAAAGTGCACGTGGCCTCAAAGTGCACCTGGCCTGGCACAGGCGCCGTGCTGACGTTACCGTCACTTAGTGGCGAATGGCTCCGATACATGGACTCCCCATCACCCTGAGTTGAAGTTGGCAGCCTTCACGTGGCGCCACTGTTAAGTGAGAAATCACGATGGATGCTATCAATGCGGCGACCGAACATCAATCATCGATCTCCTGGTCTCCAGGGCAACAGCACAAGCCACACTGCTGAGTTTGTTGAGGAGTGGAATCGTGGTCAGAGATATTTACTCAAATGTTACATTCTTGCTTGGGAGCTAATGCAGCCAGTTAATCTCTCTATTCATCTTGCCATTGTGATCCCGCTAGCATGGTGGTGAGATGTAAACTACCTCGCCTGGTATGCAGGAGGTCGTGGGTTCCATCCCGACCCTGACGCCTGCTGTATATTGGAGTTTGCATGTCTCTCATCATCATCATCACGGTGGCTAGGAGATGTTGACTACCTCGCCTGGTATGCAGGAGGTCGTGGGTTCGATCCCGACCCTGACGCCTGCTGTATATTTGGAGTTTGCGTGTTCTTCTCTTTCGGGCAATAAAACAGGTGTTACGGTGTTCAAACACCAAATAGATACCTATTGCAAAGCATGAAGTCTGCAGTAACCACACACACTCGTGGCAAAACATGCAAACAAACATGCTCTGGTCATATATGCATTGTCTTTGAAACTCATTTGCCTACACCAGAGATCGCCTTCGTTATGGCCTCGTCACGCGAGAGCTCCAAAAGGCGGAACAGCATGGTAGCTCGCACCGGGTTTAGCAGTTATATCTATGGGACCTTTTTTTTTCCAGTATATCAAAATGATGAAAAAATAATATGCCTTCCAAACAGGTTTCTATTTGGTGTTCGAACACACGTTCATATGCGTTTACTCAACACATCACATCTAAACTTGGCAGGACCCTCCTGAGAAAGTCACGAGGCATGGGCGACAGCAGAAACCAGAACAACTCTCGACACACAGATTTTTTTTTTATATATGCACACCCGCGCGGTGACGCATGAAGCGGCGACGCAAGCGGTGACGTCGGCGCCTTTTTCCAACCCACACCTCCCCGCCCCCTCCCCCACCGCAGGTGCGCATCCTCTTCTCGCAGGCGCCGTTCATCTCGATCTTCGCGAGCGACCCGCACATCATCATCAAGGCCATCAACCAGAACCTGAACAGCGTGCTGCGCGACTCCAACATCAATGGGCACGACTACATGCGCAACGTCGTGCACCTGCCTTTCTTTCTCAACAACCGCGGGCCGCCCATAGCCCGCCGGCTGGCCGTGGCCGCTGGCCCCGCCGCCGCCAATGGCGACGTGCCCGGCCACGAGGCCACCGTCGGTGAGCCCCCCCCCCGGCTTGTGCTTGAACCGGTCCGGGGGACCTCCTCCGCCAGGGCCGGGCTCGCCCTCAAATGAAGTGTCTATTGTTGTCGGTGTGATAAACACCGACAACGCCGGGAGAGATGAAGGCAGTGGCTGCAGGGGGACAACGTCGTGGGTTTTTTTTCTGTTTTTTTTGTCGTGTGTGTCGTCGCTTGAATTGGTCTCTTCCTACTCGGAGGGCGTTTTAAACAACGTGTCGGTTTGATTGCCATGCTACAAATAGCTCTGTCGAGGGGCGTGTAAGACATTGTACCATCGAGTGTGAATGAGAGGCGATTGGAATATTTTGAGGAGGATATCTTCTTTTCGAGGCTATTCTCTAACACGAGGTCATTTTCCGTTCAAATTCCTCAATTGGTGCGGTGTATTTTTTGGCACGTGTCGTGATGCTTGGCTCCTGCAAGCTTCAAAGACTACTGTGTCTGTCCGGTGCTTGCCGAGCTGCATTGGCTACCGGTTGCTGAACTAATAAATTATAGGGTCGCACTAATTCCACACAAAGTGCTTTGCACAAATGAACCACGCTATCTTGCTGATCTCGTCCAGGAGTATAAAACATCATGTGAACTCCGGTCATCCTCGCAGCGGCTTTTGGCTGGCCATCGAATAAAGACGGTCACCGCATCGCGCGCTTTCAGATGCGCTTCTGCGGCCGTCTGGAGCGCTCTTCCTCCCGATATTAGGAAGCCACTGGAGCTCTGCACTTTTAAATCATCATCTAGACTGAAAACTAATTTCTTTCGAACCGCCTTTTGGATTTAGTTTGTTGTCCTTCCGCCGCACCTCCGATGAGCACGGTTGGCTACGTGCGGTGCGTGCTTAAGAAGGTCAACATGCATACGTAGCAATCCTCGCCCCCTACGATGGAAACTGCTCAAGAACCCTGCCGACAATGAGTCGTGAGACTCGGGCTGTTCTGCGAGTATAACAACAATCGTGAATAATGACGTCCTTTCTGAACGAGTGGCACGTAGCTCTCAGCACAAATTGAATATCGTTTTAGAAACCCCCCCCAAAACATTCGAAAACCACCCCCCACGTGAACACATGCTTTCTGTATTCTATATAGCAGGGGTCCCCAACCCCCGGGCCACGGACCGGTACCGGTCCGTGGCCTGTTAGGAACCGGGCCGCACAGCAGCAGGAGGTGAGAGCGGTGAGTCCGCACGTGGCCCGCCCCATTGTTTTATTATTCACCACTTCCATCCGCGCCTCTTTCCCTTACTGCGCACTTGTCTCAGTCACAGTTGTGGTAAGCCCACAAGCTCTAGCCCCTAGTAGCCACAATGAGTATAAGACAAACACAAGCTCTAACCCCTAGTAGCCACAATGAGTAAAAAACAAACGTCGCCGGAGAGCTTCTTTGAAAAGGGGGAAAGACCCAATGATGAACCCCCCCCCCCCCCCCCCCCCGTGAAAAAATTGTCTTCCACGAAATTGGTCTTTGGTGCCAAAAGTTTTGGGACCGCGCTGCTATATAGGAACTGTGTATATTGAACAGCGTGCGTGTGTGCGTGCGTGTGTGTGCTTGCGTGCGTGTGTGTGTGTGCTTGTGTGCGTGCGTGCGTGTGTGTTGTGTGGCCGCAGCCTGGTTTGATGACGGGGAGCAGAAGCCGTCCCAGCATAGCCTTGGGGAGCTCACGAAGATTGGCAGCAAGGTCTCCCTCACCCGCCGGGTATGACCTCACTGACTCAAATACCGTAAACAAAGACAAAGATCCCCCGTATAGCCTTAACAGACTGTTGGGGCAGGTGCTGTTAGCTAGCACCTATGAGGGCCGTAACGGCACACGAAGGGGGTGGGTGGCCAGCATCACGCCCGGCCGCTTTTGTCCCCCTCGTGGCGATGTTTTTAGAGAGACACGCACACACACACACATAAACACACTTGTGCGCACGTTTTCCCACGTACACGCACGTACACACTAATGTGTGCACACACATCGACACGCAACAAGGACGGCTGCTACGCTACCGAGAAGTGATGTCACCTCCCTGCCGGGCGAGGCGCGATTTGAGGCCAGGTGCGGAACTCTTTTGAGTTGTTATCCTTTGGTGCGCGTGTATTTTAGCCGGTACTCTCATTTCTTCCGGCACGCGCAAAAGCACTTCCTCAAAACTAATTGACCACCCCCACTCCAGTCATTCACCTCGAGGGTTATCCGCCTTAAGGAAGTAGACACCGAGAGATGTGGAGTTTATTGAAACACACGGCATAGAGAGGTTCAGAATATAACACGCTGTTAATAATCGTTGTACTTGGCATTGTGTAGTACATCAATTATTACATACATGCCCTCTGTGCGCACCTGAATCGTTTTGCTCGCTAATATACTTTTGGGACGGAAAAAATAATCTTTGACCAATGCATGACCCTCGCTATGACACTCCTTGAGACTCGCAGGATTAATTGGTAATGGTTATTCGTCTGTTACCATTGCGCCAGTCGCCACCTCAACACCTTTTTTCTTTCCCTTGCCTGACACGCGCGGCAGCAGGAGACCTTGAAGCGGCGGCAGATGGCACGCCAGTTGACGCGGCAGATGTCATTTGACCTCTCCAAGCTGCTGGTCACGGAGGACTGGTTCAGCGATATCAACCCTCAGACGATGAGGAGGCTTCTCAATGTCGTGTCCCTCACCGGTGAGCCTGCACACAACAACAACAACCGCCATTCACCACTAAGCGGCGGTGACGTCACCACGACGCTTGTGCCAGGCCATGTGCACCTTGAGGCCACGTGAAGTGTCGAACGCCCGCTGGCAGGAGGTCACGGGGCAGACCCAGATGCCACGGCTCGACTGACTGAGATGACCGAGATGACTGGCTGATGCACCACCTGCACACACACGCACACACACGCACACACATGCACACGTGCGCGCACAAGGGACAAAAGACCGCCGCTCGTTAAATGCGCGCTGCAGCCAAGCGGAATCGCCAACTGACCTGGTTCCCAACCGCAGTGTGATTGTGCGACTCGTCACCTCGCGTGCTCACCTCGCATCCATTGTCGCGGCCATGGCTGCATCCCGCGAGCCTCAAGAGCAGTTGAACTTAGAGACTTCGTTCTTAACCCTTTCACATTCCGATGATGTACGTGTACGTCATCAGTTTTTACACGTACGTCATCGAAGCGGAATCGGAAGGAAAACCAAAATAAAATAACTTTGCCGGTTCCGAGGCTCCCGCAACGGCATGTGGGAGGGCGTGTGGCACATCCAGCTATCGTAGAGTGCGGTCGTGTCGCTACAGTTCTCTGCGTGAATTAGAATGTCTTTAAAAACAACGGCGCTACGCCTCTCTAAATAAAATAAACGCGAACCGGCTTGCGTGTTCCGAGATTCAGCGGTAAACTGGGACCCACCTTGCAAACTTGCAGATGTCTCAGAACGGCAAAAGGTTAACCTCACCGATGTTGTCTAACTGTAGTGCTAACAGATGAGTCTTTAGAGACAATGGTTGTATTCGTGTAAAATAGCCTTGCAGGTGCGGTGATTGGAATTTTTGCGGAGGATGGAACACTGTGGCGGCGTGGCGTAAACACTTTCTTAGTTTTTGTTGTGCGTAGGAGCTTTGTGATGAATGGGACACGTGTGCAGGGAGGAAGTGGTCAGGTTACCAGGGCAGTTTTTGGAAGGGCACCCGGAGATTGGTGACCAAGGAATGAAACGTCCCCAAAAAAACCCTGGGAAATTGTAAGGAAGCGATGGCAAGGTGTGGTGCCGTCCAAAGCATTGCCCCTAGTGACCTCTTGACCTTAGCCTGCCATTCACCGTTGTCTACGTACGGTGCGAAAGAAGTTCACATACATACACAAGTCCACTGACTTTTTTATTGAGTAAAATAATGAATATAAATCTCAATAGAAAAAAAACATCACCGCTTTCAGTATCATTCACACTGCCTCAACTTGGCCAGAACAATTGCGCGGCGCGTTTCGGCCTGCTGCGAAGATAACGAGCCACGCCGGCGCTGCTGCCCCCCCTCTCCCGCTGCGCCAACCAGGGCGCCTGCTGCGAGCCAACCAGGTGCAGTTCAACTGGGACCGCCTGGCCACGTGGATCAACATGACGGAGCAGTGGCCCTACCGCACCTCCTGGGTGGTGCTCTACCTTGAGGAGGTGGAAGGCGTTGGTGACCACCTCACCCTCAAGATGGTCTACGACAGGTAAACTCAAAATGTGTTTTTTCATTATTTTCAGGAGCGACGTGGCCACAAATGATGGCTCAACGAAGTGGCTTATCAACGGGGAAATTTATAGCAGCCAAATACTCTAAACGCATGTTGATTCTAAATGTGGAGGGAAAAACCGGAAGACCCGAAGAAAAATCCACGTGACCACGGGGAGAGAGCCATGCAAACTTCAAATATACGGGCGTCAGGGTCGGGATCGAACCCGCGACATCCTGTATACAAGGCAAGGTAGTTAACATCTCCCTACCGTGGCGAGGTGAGCCGGGCATCACCCCCCCTCCCCCCGCTTTACCGCTGCCCTCAAATTGGTCTTCTTTCAGCCGTTGTTCTGGAAGTTTTGTAAACCCTTTAGGTGGGGGCTGCATGGATACCGTGCAGGAGAAATTTCGAACATCGGTGCCACGTTGAGACAACAAAACAATTATACACAACGTGAAATTAACACCTTACTCACAACCCGCTGGTTAAAGGCGTGATCTCGTCAAGGAGCATAAACCATCACGCAAACGCCCGTCTTCCTCGCAGCTGCGGCTTTCGGCGAACCATCGAACAAAGGCGATCACTGCATGGCGTGCGCTTTCAGATGCCCTTCTGCGGCCGTCTGGAACGCTTTTCCTTCCGATATTATGAAGCCACACGGAGCAATACGCCTTTAAATCATCATCTAGATTAACAACTCCGTTATTTAGAACTGCTTTTTGTGTTTAGGTTGTTGTCCCTTCCCCCCCCCCCCGCATCTCCGATTAGCACGGTTGGCTCCGTACGGTGCGAAATTATTCTAGATTTGAAGCTTTCGTGACTGCAAGGATTCATACTCTTAGATTTTTTCGGTAAAGTCATGTAGGTAAAAAAATAAGCCCCTCCCCTTAACTAGTATTTAAGATCTTGTCTTTTGGATTTCTTTTCACTTGATACAGTAAATTTAGCTGTGACGGTCCCACCTGAAGACGGAGACTTGTGTTGCTTCCGAAACGTCGTGATTTCTTATTATTTTATTTTATTATTATTTTTTACCTACGTGACTTTACCGAAAAAACCTCAGGGTGCGAAATAAGTTCGACAAACATACATCTCTCTAGATATGGCGGGCCTTAGTCACGTGGGAGGATGGGCACAGGAGCTGGGGATGGGCGGGGTTGTTGGGGGGTTGGGGTCACGGGGACCAGTGACCTTGATGGGTTTTGGGGGGGGTGAGGAAGATGGAGGTTGGGGGGCCGCCATTCTAAAACAAGTTGAGATTCACTGCCAAGGACCGTGACGGGATGCACGTGGCGTGACGACCAGCAGAGGGCGCTGTGGGAATGCAAGTGCGGACGGGCCTTATGTTCTCTGGCCGGGTTTCATGCCACATTTGACCAAGTGGACGCGCTGGCGGTACACCGCTGCAGCGTAACACACCGGTCCTCGTGAAACGGTGCGAAAATCTGAATTTTAACTGACTATTCTCCTTCCGGCTGCTTCGATATCACGCGAACTGATTTTGACGCACCACCACGGCCCCGCGAGATTTTCTTAGGAAAATAAATAATTATCGTGCAAATGTTGATTTTTTTTTAGTAGCGTGCACCGGTGTACCGCCAATACATTCAAATTGTTCATCAAAGGAATTGCCCAAACATTGTTTATGCAGGGCCCCTCCGAACAGAGGGTCTTGTGACTCTTGCTGAAGGGCATAATTATCATCATCATCATCATCATATATAAGAACTTCATGTATAATAACGATACTTGATGGAATGTCAAAGCAGCCGCATGTCAAAAAGGCAAAACATTTTTTTACACAATGACATTTTTTCCCCCTCATAACCGCTCTCCAAACGTGTCTGCTCGCAACACTCGGAGGATTTGCACGAGCACGCGTTGTCATTCCTGCACGAGAACAAACGCATCCGCATGTTTGTTGTTGCTTTTGGCGGGAAACCCCTCGTGGTTTAGAAACGAGTTGGACTCTTCCCAGTGCGAAATGTTGAAGCGAGCGCACACTCTCCCCCCCCCAACGCCCCTGCCGTCAAACCACCATCGAAGCGATGTTTCTTCATTCTCGCAGTTGGAGTTTGTCCAAGTTAAAGTAACAGAACGCAGTTTGAGCGCAGTGGCTCTTTTGTGCAGTCATTGGTGACGGTGCTCAGACGCAGCGACCGTTGCACTTGAGAACGTATTATTACGTGACGCTGCGTTTGCAGTGGTGCGCAAAGCAGTAACGCTAACCTGAACCAAAAATATAAAACGGGTGACATTTTGTCCGATGCCCCTACTGTTTAAGCACACGAAACGATGGTTTTGCTTGAGAAGCTAGTTTAATTACAAGTGGCTTTTTCGATTGCACCGTCCGGTCTCAGTAAAGCCAGCCCAGTGCTCTGACTTCTGAGCCACTCGGTCAGCTCTGTCCGTGTGGGCAACTTGTGCACACATTGTTCTGTGGCATTGCCGCGGAATGGCTCTTTTGGACGATGTCATGGAATTTGTTGTAGGTGAAAGGTGCGCTTTGCTAATTCCCAACTGATATTACCGTCATCTGCGAGGAATGGAAGTGTCCACCCCCCCCGCCGATAGCTCGAACATCTGAAAATACGATCTTTGTTGAGTGTCACATTCATGCAAAGTCAAATGATGCCAAAATCGGAATTTGTCATTTTTGTACCGTGCCACTTAATTGTGTAGCATTGCTTCTGGGGCTGGTTATCCGACATTTACAGCTGCGGCAGTGGTCACCCTGCGGAGAGACTGGTCCCCGCCACAGCAATGTGGAATTTACACCGCTGCTTGCCCCCATTGTTCAATGGATCAGGGAGATCCGTGATCTTTTTGGCATAAGTGGGATTTTCTATTTGAGGGGGGAAAAAAGCCAAATGTTGTTTCTGAGCCAACTCCATTATATATATATATAAAAAAACCTGCCTTAGTGAATTCAGATTTGTCTGTTTGTCAACTCAATTCATCATTGTATCTTCAGCAAACATCTCTGGCATGCAGAAGAAAAAACCGCAGCAGCCGTTTTCTGCAGTGCCATTGTGCCGCTTTAACTGAACACTGTTACACATTTTTTTTTAAGCACCGGTGACGCTGATAAGTCTGCCAGGCGCACGCACTGAGGAGAATGTGGAACAGTCAGCATATAAACAGTGTGGTTTCACGTATCGGCTGTGTAACACAAAGAACATTTGTTTCAATAAGTGTTCTGATTAAATAAGGCATTGGCTATGGGTTTTTTTTAATCCTTTTTTTAAATAACATGCCAACATTTCTTAATAAAGAGCTGCGTTTGTAGTGTAGCGGAGATGATTATACAGTCCTAGATTTGAAGCTTTCGTGACTGCAAGGATTGATATTCTTAGGTTTTTTCGGTAAAGTCACGTAGGTAAAAAATTTAAATTAATAAAAGTTAAATAAAAATAAAATAAAAATCACGACGTTTCGGAGGCAACACAAGCTTCTGTCTGCAGGTGGAACCGTCACTTGATACAGCTATCGTGCTGTGACGGTTCCACCTGAAGACACAAGCTTGTGTTGCCTCCGAAACGTCGTGATTTTTATTTTATTTTCATTTAACTTTTATTAATTTTAATTTTTTACCTACGTGACTTTACCGAAAAAACCTAAGAATATGATTATACAGTCGCCAACTCTTTATATGATTATAATTGAAAGTGTAATTGGTGTCCAGCAAGTAGGTGGTTGCCCTGCTTCTGGGAAGTTTGAACGCTATATCCCCCTTGTACGCGTGGGTTGTCCCATTGCCCTCCAGGTTTGTTCGCCAACTCCCAAAGTAAGAGCCCTTCTCAGAAAGTCTGGAAAGTCACGCTCTCCTGCGTAAATCATTGCTAACTTTGTTCGAGCGCCTCTGTGGATGATGCTATGGCTGAGGGATGGTGATCACGATGAACTTGCAATCCGGAGGTCGCCGGTTCGATTTTCCAGTGGCGGTTGATACGTCGGGAAAGATCCTTACGTATGATGAACTTCTTTCACACCGTACGTAGCCAACCGTGTTAATCGGAGGTGCGGGGGGGAAGGACAACAAACTAAACACAAAAAGCAGTTCTAAGGAAATGAGTTTTTAATTTAGATTATTTACAAGTGCATAGCTCCCGTGGCTTCCTAATATCGGAAGGAAGAGGTGTTCCAGACGGCCGCAGAAGCGCATCTGAAAGCGCGCGATGCCCGCTTCAGTCCGCCCAGCCGTGTGAATGGCGGCAACCACAGCTCGGCAGGTAACGGCGGTGGCCTCAAGTGTGGATGTACCCTGCCCAACTTCTTGCGAGATGTCTGGCCAGCGGTAAATAAGTAGCCCAGTATCGTTTATCGAGAGCTCCCTCGAGTGGAGGCTCCTTCCGCCAGCAGCCACAAGTTCATTGCGGGGCTGCGCCTTTCCTCGTTCAGCGGAGCGCGGAGGGCGGGTGCTTGCCTCGCGTCGAGCGCGGTCACCGATGCGCGATCGACGCAACTGCCGCGGTAGAGAAATACCAAAAAAAATATTACAACTCGATTTTGACCGCCACTTGACGAAAGCACGCGGGTGGATAAGACTCCGATGGGATGGCTCAGCGGGTAACGAGACATCTCCTCCAGGGGCCGTCCCATGATGCCATTTGATTTAAACTGCAGATAGTGGCTGATTAAAATATTCATGTCGGTATACCATTTGGCGTGACATTAAGAACGTTATTGGAAATAATAATACACCTGGTCAATTAAAAAAAGTGGAATCGTGTTTTTACACGACATCGCACTTCCGATAAGCACGGTTGGCTATGTACTGTGCAAAAGATGGTCAACATACGTGCAAAATAACCCGATCAGGAACGAGCATGCAACTGTCTGCTCAATTACCTTTTATCGTAGATGAATTAAGATAGGGCGCGTGTATAACCGGCAAGTGTTTGTATAAGTCGGTTGACGCATGTCAACGAGGAGGATCTTGGTAAACACATTGTTCCGGAGCGGAGGACAGCCCCGTGGCTAAACCGAGAGCGGCTCGGCAAGTCTCGACGGCTCCGTAAGCAGCACCGCCGCTCGCCACCGATAGAACCCAATAAGTTAGCAACAGCCCCCCCCCCCCCCCCGCCCGCCCGCGGCACGGGAGGGAGGCTGTGTGAAACTCTTCTTGGCCCGCCGGCGGCGGTCGTGACGGTACCATTTTTTTTTTTGCCAAACCGCAAATTTGGCCGCTCGCTCAACGCCTATCTTCTTCGTAGGCCGACGGTCGCGTTCCCAGGGAAGAGTAGTTCTGACGAGGTCCTCCCGCTCGCAACGATTGTCGACGTGGCCGACGTGGCCGACGTGCTACCGAGCCAATGGTGCAAATTCCACATTTCCATGGTGGGCCCCCAACCCCGATCTCCCACCCCCCCCCCCTCTTGAGTAATCACAGCCACTGTTGACTTTCCAAAACGAGACTTTGTCGATGAGCATAATTGACCCGCTGATTGTTATTTCAAAATCGCCCGCCCAGTCCTGCTAAAGGGAGTTAGGTAATAATATCTCCTAATGGACTCTTATCTGGGGAAATATGAGATCCAATCGAGCTCGCTGCGAACCAGACTTGGGTGAGATAGTCCAATGCGCCCGTAATTAAACGACGGCGCTCCTGTTTGCAGCAGGTGGCGGGTGTGGTGAGAGCGATCGACTCGCTGCCGTAAGTTTGCTCGCAGTTCCACTCAGCCTGTCGTCATTTATAGGTCGCTTAATCGAGTATCACTTGCAAAGAAGTCACATCACTGGTCATCTTTTGGGGAGGCTAGCACCCATAATGAGAATGTGGGCTTTCCACTCCTGGCTGAGGGAGACCAAAAGAGATGAGTGCCCGTTCTGCGCTGGTTTGGCCAGTCACATCACACCAGCTGTGAACATGATGCACAAACACCCCAGGATGTGGGTGGGTAGCATTTCATGAAGAAACAATCATTTGAGACATCTCATTCACTGTTGAGAAGAACGCGTGTGTTTCAAAAGCACGCGTCTCAATATGAAAAACTGAAATATGGAATGATGACCAGTGGACAAATCTAGAGATGGACCAAGAGGCAGCCAAGAAATGGTGCTGCAGTGGCTAGGAGATGTTAACTACCTCGCCTGGTATACAGGAGGTCGTGGGTTTGATCCCCGACCCTGACGCCTGCTGTATATTTGGAGTTTGCGTGTCTTTTTCATCATCATCACGGTGGCTGGGAGATGTTAACTACCTCGCCTGGTGTACAGGATGTCGTGGGTTTGATCCCAACCCTGACGCCTGCTGTTTATTTGGAGTTTGCGTGTCTCTCTCATCATCATTATCACATTGGTTAGGAGATGTTAACTAACTAATTAGCACTTTGTGGGAAGTCCATCGAGGTCTCCTGTTTAGAGTCTTGGTTCCTGCCATGGCAATGTGGAATTCCCACCATTGCCTCCGGGGGCCAGTGGAGCCATGCACTTCCCCGCTGCTCGTTTAGGCGCCGGCGACACGGTGACTTGGCTGTGACCGTAACGAGCACCGGCTGATGCGAGCGTTGTTATTTTATTCTCTCCCGCCACCGAACACTCGCCGAATATTACCAAGCAGCCGAAACATCCGTTCCCCCAAGGTGGCAATGTCGCAGTGCAGACCGTGGTGAAGGGAGTGCCTCCCCCGGCCGTGCTTTGTGCACGCGGGGCGTGTAAAGTGACGACCATGTTCGCCTCTCCTGCCGACGGCGGCGCGTGATCCCAGCCGCACTCCGTCGCTGCCGGCTATACGCCCGCATTGTGGTGGCTGTGGGAAAGTGCCTCGCAACTCCAATTGGCGCGGTTGGCTGCGTACGAAAGAAGTTCAATATACATAATAATAATAACATTCATTTCGCGTTTTTCATGAAGGATCTCAAAGCGATGTACAGGACACAGCAACAGCAGACACTCAGCATAAAAATAATATTAATACGTAAATTATTTTTTTATTAAATGAGGTCAACATTTAATAAGCGGGAGCGTATAAATATGTTTTAAGGTGCGTTTAAAAAATGTCCACAGACTCGGAGATCCTGATATCTTGTGCAAGAGCACTCCATAGCCTGGGGGTTACACAGGAAAAATCTCGGTCACCCATTGACCGAAACCTCGACCTGGGAATACAGAGAAGATCTGCATCCCAAGATCTTAGGGACCTTGAGGGGATCTATGGGTGAAGCCTGTCAACGATGTAAGATGGGGCCAAGAGAGTTTACTACTTTGTAAGTTAACAATAACATTTGAACTGCATTCTGTGAAACTGGAAGCCAGTGCAGGGAGGCCAGCAGCGTCCTTCACGAACTTCTCCTCATTGGCACAAAAGCCTCGGTGGGTCACTGCATCCGGATTACGAAGGCGTCGAGGAACCAGCTTTGTCTTCAAATCGAGTCGCTTGCTCGAGGAAGGGGTCTCGTGTCATCGTGTAGCTCAGGCCCTGGGGCTGGTAAAATACCACCGGGTCTGTGTGCGCAGTAGAAACCATGCACATGTCACCGACTAGTCATCCCAGCTCCACACGAGACAAATCATGCCATGTTGAACCTTGGCAATAATTGATCAGGAGTGTCTCTCTGTGCAAATTGTCGAATGACGGTGGTGGGGGTAGCGCTCATTTTCCCGTTGACATTGTTTTGAACGAGTGGTGAAAATTTCACATTTCCCTTGGATAACCATTATTTGGTATTGTATTTGTATTGGAACAATCTACAGACCTTTGTCAATCCGCTGTTGGAGGAAGTCCTCCCCACGTCGTGTCACTCGTGTGGGGGGGGGGGGTGGTGGGGGGGGGGGCGAGGGGGGGGCAGGGTGGGCGGGCGTGGGGTGGGGTGGCCCCGGTTTGTTGGTGAAGGGAGGTGGCCCCAGGACGAGTTCTGAGATCATGCGAGAGGGGGGGCATGGGGGGGGTGGTGAGGGGGGGGCGAGGGACAGGGCGAGCGGGGGGGGGGGGTGATGGGAGGACGAGGGACGGGGCGAGCGGGGGGGGGGTCCAGGTTGGTTGGTGAAGGGATGTGGCCCCAGGATGAGTTCTGAGGTCACTCGCCATTCTCGTGAGTGACGGCCCGGGAAATCTGTCGGTCGGTGTCCGAGATTTTATTTATTTATTTAACCAGGACACGAAATTAACCCACGGCAACGTGTGGAACGTTGCTGTCTATTGCAAGGGCGGCCTGGGTTGTGTCAAGTCATAAGTACGCAGATTGTCTTCAAAACATTAATCTTTTTTACAAATGTAGACTAAATGTCACAATACATTTTACGGAACAAAATTTTATCAGGCGAAGTAAGGGGGGTGAATTTCATCTCAAAAATTTAATTTTACAAGAAATATAATTTTGAGAAAGCAAAGTGACGATATTAAATTCTGATATTGAACAGAGGCAGCGAGAATTCGTAACACAGTGTGCCACTGCTCCCAAAGTGAGAATATTATTCATCATCAAAACTCGAATGTAGCATAATATTAATTGAACCTGGGTGAACAGACAGTCATAAAAGTCAGGGATGTCTCATAACAAATCTTGAATTGAAGTTATAAAATAGCATTGCAATAGAAATGCTTATATGGAAACAAATGATATATCAGACATTACAAAAGCAATCTCCACTGCAAAATAAGTGGCACTTTAACAATGCAAATTAACAAGTGGAACGCTACGTGACAGTTTCTTTGCCGTTACTTTTAAACGAATTCCGCAATTATTCGTGCCTAAAACAACGTGTTGTGCTGAACGACTTTGACGGTTTCGCTCACAAGAAACGGCACCGGGTGGACTTCCTTTAGACGGTCGCACTCGTTTCGTACTTACCAGGCCGGCCGGCGCTCACTCATTTGCGCGCCTGGCTTGCCCGGCTTCGTTGGATTCCCTCCACTTGATGGATACGGCGCCCCAAGCGTGCTTCACTCCAGCCTCATTTAAAATAAGATTAAGGCCCCCCCCCCCCTCCGCTTCGCTTGGCCTGCAGCAATACTTCTTTAATAAAAAATCCTCTCCTGCTGCTACATGTTACAAGTGTTCCTTATAATTCCATTTAGGTTTCTCCCGCACACTTTTCCCCGACTTTCCGACCTGGCCCCCACTACCACACCCCCTGCCCCCCCCCCCCCGTCTCCGACCGCCCTTCACCCTCACCTCACCATGCAGCACTTCTCTTTTCGGTGCAAAATGCAACTGCACTTTAATTAAGCATGCCCCCCTTTGCCTTCCGCTGTACCCTGTTGTGCGAGTGTGAGTGTGTGGGGAGCAGTCGTGTAGCGGTGAGCCCGCTGCGCTGCGAACCCGGCGACCCGAGATCAATTCCCGCTCACGGCCAACACCGGTGATGATTATCTAAACCGGTCCTGGGCCTCCCCTAGGTCAACTCAGCTTCAAAATTAATACCTGGTGTGGTGTGTAAACATCGTGTTGGCCTTCCACCCCCTCGTGTGCCGTGCCGGCCTTCACAGGTGCTCGCTAACAGCACTTGCCCCAACAGTCTGTTAAGGCTACACGGGGGAATCTTTGTCTTTTTGTGTGCGCGTGTCGTTTTTTTTTTGCCGGCCAATCAGACCCGGTGTGAGTCCACATATTCCGGTCAAAAGCAGGAGCTTTCTCCTCCTCCACGTCCCCGACCCTTCCACGGCAGTCGCGTGCACGTTTCAACCTTCATCGTGCACAGTTCACAACCAATCTTGTGTTGCGTTCGGTATTGTTCCGCCGTCTTGCCGGGCAATCGCTCGCACGGCGGTTCCTGTGATTTGGTGGCCCCCTTTTTGTTCGGCCGGGGGCCGGGGGAGCCCGCGGGGAAGTCACGTCGGCGTGAGACTCGTCGTCGCCTGAGAAGGTAGCGATATCGATGTGGTACGCTCGCCTCGTTCGTAAACAAGTTGGTCGAATCTACCTGTCGACCATCTCATATCAATAAATTAATAAGAAAAAGAAAACTCAACACACTCGTCAACAACCAACGGTCCCTTGAAAGAAAAAAATAGAAAAGCGAACACGTTTCAGGCAATGGCCCTTCAAGTGTGGTTGAAGTCAACGGTCACCGTCCAATGGAACCACTGGTCCCCACCATGGGAATGTGGAATTTCCGCGGATGTAAGCGAGAGCCGCTGAAGTGGACGAGCGCTTGGTGCACGGCCGTCACCGGCTCGGCTCGTCCATCGCCAGACAGCGCAACCCACGCGCGCCGCGTCTGTTCCAACGAATGGAAAACTTTTTTTTGGGTTATTTCAATAAATGTGACCGCCGCTTCACTAACAAGGACATATATTTGCATGGTTTATTTTTAAGATTTGCACAGTTGATATAGCAAATACATGCTCAATCAAAGTGGGCCATTGTGAAGGAGTAAAATGGATTAATTTTTCGTGGTATGTTTGTCTAGATTTCACAAAGGCACTGTCCCCACAAAGACAAACATTTCATGGAACCGTCTAGGACATAATAAGATCGTTTGCTTTTTTTTTTTTCTTCCATACAACAATGTTTGAACTCGTAGAGATTTATTTTTAATTTACAAGGACACGTGGGAGTTGTGAGTAAGAAGAGTTCGTTCGTTTGTTCGTTCGTTCGCGCTTCTATTGGTGAGGGTCGCAGTGGCAGCATGTTGAGTAGTGGCAGTCCAGCATTACTACACTATACACTACTATACACTACACTATACACTACTATACACTACACTATACACTACTATACACTACTATACACTACACTATACACTACACTACTACACACTACTATACACTATACACTACTTTACACTATACACTATTATACACTACACGATACACTACTATACACTATACTATACACTACTATACACTAAACTATACACTACTATACACTACTATACACTATACTATACACTACACTATACACACTACTATACACTACTACACACTCCTATACGCTATACACTCCTATACGCTATACACTACTATACACTACTATACACAGACTCTAGCTCTTGCTGGGGAATTCCCAGGCATTCCCAGGCCAGCTGAGCGACGTGGTCCCGCCAGCGTGTCCTGGGACGTTGTTTTATATTTTTTTAACATTGCCATTCCAAGTGTCTCCCTCCTCAATAGAGCAATGTGGCAGCAGCCGTCGTAGATCCCTGGGCCATTCGTTGAAGTTCCACAATTCCCTCAGGACAACCACTTGTCATCTTCCCACAAAGCGGTTCTTATTTTATCGACTCCTAAGAGGGAGGGGGGGGGGGGGGTGATGGGCTGAGTCAACGCTAATTGGGATTTGAACTCTTCCTAAATCTGTATTTACAGACAATTACAGACAATTGCATTATCTGACCGTGTACAGATCAGCCTGGATGCATGACAGTCTCATGATGCTTCATTGTGGCCTCCTCGTTCGATTGTTCTGAATGTGGCTTCTACGTCTGCACACGGTGGAGGTGCTTTGAAAAGGGCTTCATGGAGATGTAACAACGTTTTGTGCAAATTGATTCGCGTCACCTGCTACAAGCAACACGTATCAACATGCTGTCACCTTGCCTGATTCTCAACACGTATCGAGTATCGCCGGTGCAAGAGGTATCAGGTCAGATAGGTAGTGGCGGTGTGGTTTGTGTGCTCGACTCACGGTCAGAAAGGCATAAGTTCAATTCCCTGTTGCGGATGAACTCCGCCCATCATCGCAAACCTATCTTTAGTTTCGATGAAGGGGTACCACTTTTTGGGAAGGCAGCAGTGATTTTCGATTGGAAAAACTGAGCTCTCAGCATAGGAACGTGGAATTTCCACCACTGGCTCACGGGCTATAAACAGAGAGGTGGGGACCACCCCATGCTCATTCCATTGTGGAGAAACTTCAACTTTCCAGTGCGGTGCTTGCACAATACATTTTAATTCCCCAAATAAATGTAGCCCAATGACGAAGTGCAGCACGGTGGTGAGATGTTAATTACCTCGCCTGGTGTACAGCATGTCGTGGATTCGATGTTGACCCTGATGCCTGTCTATCTGGAGTTTGTATGTTTACAGTATTCGGCTGCTATAAATTGCACATGATGGGCCACTTCATTGAGCCATAATATCTGTCCAGGGCACTTCGGAAAAAGAGCTATGTAGCTCAGTGGGCTTTGGCTGGTGAACTAGAAATAGTTTAGTTTGATAGTTTCGTAATGGAAATCGAGTAACCCTTAAATATCAATATAAACAAATTGCAATGACAGCCCGAATGGCGCATTCATGTTTAACAACTCATCGCGTACGGCTCTGCCGTTTATTTTTGTCTGTGTAGCGAATTAGCACCCTGGCTACGAAGAAATATTCATCGGTGCAAATACACCCGGCCAAACCTGCTTGTGTTGGTCGCATGCCATCGTATCTGTAATATCCCGCGCCGGGGGCACGGCACGTAACTTTTAATTCGCTGGCTTCGCCCCAGCGCGTGAAGCCCTTGTAAAAGTTGAACGTTAATAAGGGCTGTTTTGTAATCCTTCCTCCAGCGCAGATTGAAAATGTAGCCATGCGGGAGTTTAAAGCAATAAAGGAAAAGCCACGTGTGGTTTGCGGGAACGTTAAATGCTGAACGCCGGACAGTTGGGTTCTGGGTGGCTGGATATCCTCGCGGTCAGCGCCATCACCACTGGGCCAACGTGTCCCGAGTCGCCGGTTTGATTTCCGATGCAACTGACTTTGAGATGCCGCATCTAACTTGACGTGCACGCAAGGCCCGAGAGCAGGGATGCCCAACTTGTGGTCCGCAGGCCATCGCTGGTCTGCAAGGAAGTGGTCCATGACAATTGAGAAGTAGTTTCACTTTTGAAAAAAATACGTTGCTGCACGGTGGTCTGCGAACGCGTTTTGAGAGTTGCCAGTGGCACTTGCGCCCCATCTAGGTTGGGAACCACAAAGTGCTAATTGCCACAAATGAAACGCAAATATCTTTGCTGATTTCATTACGGAACATAAACCATTAACCATCAAGGTATTGTGGTTCGTTTGTGAACTCCGGACTCGAACCACCCATACCATAATCTCACCGCTGTGTGTCTGCTCAGTGCTCTGGCATGGCACGACCCCTGGTCACGTCTTGATTTCATGATGTTGATCACGGTGTGGAAGCCCGTCTTGTTGGGTTGATGATGGCACTGAACTGTCCCTGATGCATTACCTGGCTCTGCCACCACCCCCCCCCCCCCCCCCGCTTGCTCTCCCAGATTCTCCAGCAAAATCCCGCAGTCGAAGGATGTGGAGCCGCTGCTGGAGATCGACGGCGACGCGCGCAGCTTCGAGGTGTTCCTGACGTCGCGCACACCCACGCTCACCGTGTGCGACGTGCGCACGTTCATGGCATGCACCGTCAACCTCGACCCCAAGATCCGAGAGATCATCGCAGGTGAGAGGGCGCCGACGGAGGTTCGCCGCACGCCGGTGGCCCCCCGCGGCCCCCCGCGGCTCGCGATCGCCGCGTCCTTTATTTTGGATAGTCGGATCGAGACGCGTGAAACTACATTGCCCCTTTTACAAGGGCGGCCTGGGCCACACGGTCGATGATGCTGTTGCTTTTCCATGAAGACGATGCCGCTGGTGCAGTTTGCGCTGCGGCTCAAGCTGCTACTGCTGACGACGATGTTGATGTAAATTAACCCTTTGCTGACATCGCTCCGATTGATGACAATGCTGCTGCCGATGACAACAACGCCAACGAAGCCAACCTTAATTCTGGTGACGGCACGGGTGACGACGATTTACGATAGCCACGATCGACGACGACGACCGCGATGTTGATCACGACGACTGTCCGGTGATGACGGTGACGACCCTGGCGCCGGCAACACAACGCCAGAGGCGCTTCCGTTGACGCCGACAGCGCCGGTACTAACGACACGGACGCCGGCGGTGAACCTCCTCGCTCGCAGACGTCCATGCGGCACAGGTCGGGGCGACGAGCGCCTCGGTGTTCCCGTCGGCGACGGCAGCGGCTCCCGCTCCCGGCGTGCCGCACTCCGCGTCGGGCGTGAGCGCCTCGGGCCGATCGTCGGGCCCGTCCGGGGCCGGCACACCGGCGCCCTTCGCGGGCGGAGGGGGTCTCGCGACGCAGCCGTCCTCCTGCTCGTACTTTGACGGCGGCATGGGACCCCAGCACCCCTTCTACAACCGGGTGAGCTCATTCTCCCCCTTCCGTTGTCGAATCCACCCCCCCGCCCCCCCCCCCCAATGCTTGGCGAGTGCTCGGCGATGGAGAGAACACGCAAGTCTCGCGGAGGAAACGTTGCGCGCGGTTGGAATTTATTTTGCTCAGTCGACGTTAGCTGCTGTGGTTGTAACAGGTTTCTTTTTTTCATTCCTGTTGCTCTGCTCTGTGCCCCCGCCCCCCCGGTACCGTTCCCGTTCTGCTGTTGATGTGCACCGATGACCGCTTTATTGAGAGCGATATTAACGCACACAAAATAAAGATTGAGTGACCGATGATTGAGAGTCGGTGTCTGCCTGCTCAGAGGGAGCATGGGGGCATCGCTCGCCTCTATTGGTGGTGACCCTCAACAAGCAGTGGAAATTCCACGTTCCCACGAGGGTTCTGCCAGTCTCGCTGTGTGGCGACCACCGTTTGATGATGTCCAACAGTGGTGTTGTTACCCACTTTTTGGCTCGGAGAGAATAATGATGATGATGATACTAAAAATAAGTGTTTAGTTGTGGCCGAAAGCGTTGTGGCCGAAACGTCGTGAGAATTATTTTATTATGTTTTATTTTTATTATTTTATTATTTCCATTCTACGTGACTTTACCGAAAGAACCAAGAAGATGAATCCCTGCAGTCACGAAAGCTTTAAATCGAAAAATAAGTGTTTAGCTCAACTTTTACAAGTTGTCCCAATGTGCTTTATAGTCTAAGCAAAGTATAAAACTGTAAAACTCAAATATTTCCAAAGAAAAAAAATGTAACGACAAAAATACATAAAGAATTCATTTAACTCAGGACCAGGATTCGAACTCGGTTTTCCCATGTGGTAAGTCACGCACCCGGACCCACACCTCCTGTCGCCTGCAATCGTGCGAATCACTTGAGTGCGAGCCTCAATCGCGATATTGAATTGAGCTCAATTCAGTTAAATGAATGGCCCCCTTGATTCTATCTCCCTGTCAGGCCAGGTGGCGTAAGTTAGCAGAACCCACGATGGATGACGATCCGGAAAGGTTGGAATCATGTTCATAATCTGATTGTGGATTGATGAGCTCATCATCCGTGTGGTTCTTGTTAAGTTGAGTACCAGTCACCAGCGGTCACCCTCTTGTGAAACCGGCCCCTTCTCAATAACGCGCAATGCCACAAACAGAGACACGATGACTGCCGGGTGCTTGTTCGAGCATTCAGACAAATAGGCGTTGGCTTTGCAATGCGGTTTATTTAAACGCGGTGCATTTTACGCCTAGCCTTGAAATGTCGTTTAGTTTCTCGGTCAACAGGTTGTGGGTGACTCGGATGAACGTCACGTTCACAAGGGCTCATCAGCAAGCCATACTCGTCTAAGCACTGCCGTAAATGCCCAGTGTCATCCGTCATTACACTACACCCAAGTCTTGGGCAGTGTGGTTAACCAGAGTTAAGTAGGGGCTGTTTGCTTATTTGTTTAACTTTTGCAGTTTTCTTTAAGTTACTGTAATTGTAAACTTGCCGATGCGGGATAGGACTGGGGCGTGCGGCAGCCTGCTCGCTGCGAATGACATAACGCGATGTCGATTATCCACCTTCGCGACAGGACGCCAAATGCTCACGAGACAATCGGGGGGGGGGGGGGGGGGGTGCCAGGATGCTGGGGCCCGTGTGATACTGCTGTGTGCCCGCGGAGCTAATGGGGAAATGATAACCCCCCCCACCCCAAGTGTGTTTTGGTTAACCAGCCGGAAACTCTTAAAGAGACCAGGGTAGTCTCGTTTGCTAGTTACCCTGTTGCATTCATCTCCCAGGAGGGGGCTACCGATGTATACGTGTGTGTAGGCCTCGGCAAGGCAAGGCAATTGTACCCTTTTTACCGGGTAAAAGGGTAAAGGTGAAGGGTGAAGGTGTCGACATGCCAAGGGGTAAGGGCAAAGGGTACAGGGTAAAAGGTAAGCTCGTTGCTTTTTAAATCCTTTATATTAAGTTCGCTTGCTTGCGTGATTGAGTGCTTGCTTGCTTGCTTAGGACCGTGCAAATCTTTCGGTCGTTTTTTAACCCACTTCCCGTGATCCAATCGAGCTGACATTTTGCACACAGACTCGTTGTGCGAGACAATTAATGTTCGTGAAATTTTTGTTCCAAAATTTTACACTTTTTTATGGAAAACAAATTAAATATTTAATTACCAATTGCTTAATGGTGGCAGACAATCATCTGACCCATAGGTGGCAGCCATCTCAAGCCAGAGGACGAGAGGACTCTAGCCGCCACGCATATAAAGGATTTAGAGTGAAATACTTTGTTTTTACGGGTTATACTTATTACACTTTTACCTTACCTTGCTGAGGCCTACGTGTGTGTGTGTGTTGAACTTCTTTCACACCGTACGTAGACAAACCTGCTCATCGGAGGTGCGGAGGAAGGACAACAAACTGAACACCAAAAGCATTTCTAAAGACACGAGATGTCAGTCTAGATGATTTAAAAGTGTATAGCCCCCAGTGGCGTCCTAATATCGGAAGAGCGTTCCAGATGGCCGCAGAAGCGCATCTGACAGTGTGAGATAATTTGACGGTTAGCCAAAAGCCACTGTGAGGATGACCGGAGTGTGCGTGATGGTTTATAATCCTTGACGATATTACTTATGTAAGTTGTAATGAGGTGGGAAGAGGGCGAGATGGGGGTTTAATGGGTTCCAGTGGCTTCAGAGAGACAGCACCTGTGTAGCAGGTTCGGCAAGGCAACACGATTCGCGCGGTAAAATAAAGAGAGGCGAGTGCCACTGGTGGATTTCAAATGGGTGGAATAATGAGAGACTGCATGACAGCACTGGCCATATATATAGATGTACCAGCAGGAGAAGCAGAGGCAACAGATAGCACCAATGAGGTCACAAATGAGATGAATCGTAGCGTTTGATTGAATGCCACCAAAAAGGATCATTGTCAATGTTAACACACTGGCACAGATGTATATGCATTACCATGGGGCAGACGAATGTTGGTTATTTGAGCGAGAGTCTCATAGAAGTAGTGCAGAGTTTGAATCCCTTTTGCTTGTTTGGGCAGCAACAGCAACTGCTGCGATGATTCTTTCTGAAGCTACTACTGTATTTTAAACAGTTTTTTATTTCACCAGGAAGGCCCGCTGAGCTTTGTAGCTCTTTTTCGGAAGCGACCTGGCCACAAATGACAGCTCAACGGGGTGGCTAGTCGTGTGGAAGTCTATATCAGCCAAATACTCTTAAATACACGTTTCTAAATGTGGAGGGAAAAACCGGAGGAGCCGGAGAAAAATCCACACGACCACGGGGAGAGAGACACGCAAACTCCAAATATACAGCAGCAGGCGTCAGGGTTGGGATCAAACTCACGACCTCCTGCATACCAGGCGAGGCAGTTAACATCTCGCCACAGAAGCAAGCACGTGCGCCAGGTTACCGGCTGTGGAAAGTTGAGAGGTTTGAAGTGAGGGTATTTGTCTTTGGGCGGGTGGGGGGGGTGGGGGTCTCGATGAAGAGCCCCTGGCGTTGTTGGGTGACTGGCGATCGTGCGCAGGATCTCGAGAGGGTAACCTTCCTGCCTGTGCAACCAACCACACCGCGCAAAGCGCTCATGACAGGCCCGTGTGCCTCGTTGGCTTAAACAAAACAAAAAAACTTCATTTATTTGCACGTCTAACACACTGTCACCTGTTAAGCCAAAGATAAATTCTCAACATTTGTGCGTGCAAATATATGCACTCACGTTTTTAGACAGGTGCCCTTGTTAGCTTTTGGTGAATACATATTCCTGCGTGGTTGATTGATTCCATTTCTGTCACCGTCACTCCTACTCAAAGAATAGTTCGTGCGTGTCGAGTGAAGCGAGTGATTTCCGTGCCTTGTCAACGGCGCACCATGACCAATGTAAGTTGCCGAGACACCTCCGTGAATGTGGCTGTGTATATGGAGAGCGGTGGCGCAGCGGTGAGCGCACTGCGCTTACGAACCGGGCGACCCGAGTTCGATTCCCGCTCACGGCCAACACCAGGGACAAATGTTTGAACCGGTCTTGGGCCTCCTCCCCTAGGTCGACTCAGCCTCAAATGAGTACCTGGTGCAGTGTGCAAACATCGCGACTGGGGAGACAAAGGCGGCCGGACGTGGTGCTGGCCACCCACCCATCCCCTCGTGTGCTGTGCCGGCCTTCATAGGTGCTCGCTAACAGCACTTGCCCCAAAAGTCTGTAAAGGCTATAGGGGGGGTTCTTTGTCTTTGTATACGATGTGTCTCAAGCCAGTCTCTTCCTGCTAAGCCCTCAGCCTGTAATGGAAATGGTAGGAATTGGTGGTTTGAAATTCCACATTCCTTCGGCAGGTGGAAGAAGAGGAGTGGGTAGGTGAAAGGGTCTTCAAAATATGGTCACCGTTAACCTCTGTGGAAGGAGCACTGGTTTGTTTGACCCTGGAAGATTTATGAGTTGAGTCGAACCACGGCCGAGATTTTAGCTTCCTATTGAAAGATATCCATAGCTCAGGGGGCTGTAGATTAGCCTCTGAATGTTGTGTTCACGTGTTGAAATCTGGTCTCCAACCACAAATTATCTAGTTACAGGTGTAATTCCATTCATGACATTTCATACACTTCATGTGCACTAATGTTGACACACAAGTTGGGAAAAACAATATGTGCCACCATTATTGTTAACAATAGCCGCATTGTACACCTATATTTAATGACTATTTCAAAGGAAGGACCATTGCCAATTCATTATAAATTGGTCTACGATCCACTGCCGTGAGTTAATTTCCAGGTTAGGTGTCGACTCAACCTATCATCCTGCTGGAGTTGAGAAAAAAATTAACCCGTAAAAACAAAGTTTTTCACTATAAATCCTTTATATGCGTGGCGGCTAGAGTCCTCTCGTCCTCTGGATTGAGATGGCTGCCACCTATGGGTCAGATTATTGTCTGCCACCATTAAGCAATTGGTAATTCAATTTTTTTTTCTTCCCTAAACAGTGTAAAATTTTGGAAAAAAATTTCACGAAAATTCATTGTCACGCACAACGAGTCTGTGTACAAAATGTCAGCTCGATTGGATCACGGGAAGTGGGTTAAAAAACGACCGAAAGATTTGCATGGTCCTAAGCAAGCAAGCGAACTTAATATAAAGGATTTAAAAACCAGCCACACTTTGTGGGAGGGCACTTTCGTTTTAGACTTTCCCCATCACAAGGAATGTGGAATTACCATCTCTGGCTTTGGGCTGCCTGCTACAATTAAAGCAAATATTCCGTCGTGGGGAAAACACTTTGGACATTTAGCCTTTTGTGTTCGTGGATATTCATTGCATATCCCGCACCTTCGATTAGCACGGTTGGCTACGTACGGTGCGAAAAAAGCTCGGCATACATACGTCAACGTACATGCATCACGGCCAGTGAAAAGAACATAATGCAATCACATGCCCAAAGTTCCCTTTGCAACCGCTACGTTGCCTTTTTTGTGCCCATGCTGCGTGCACAATTGCTTTGTCACATTGTCATACTTGTCAACCCATTATCAGTGCTGCCTATCTTATTACAGACCATTTCAGAGCTTATTGATCACCCCGTGCCCACATAAATCTCAACGTTCATCCTACAAAGTCCCATCGCACAGGAGAAACACAACACAAATAGAAGAAAGAAAAAAAATGTTGCCCGTATTGCAACGGCTGTATGCCATATGGACCTGAAAACTCAATTTCCCTGGACAAGAATACGGGTAAACCGTTTGGGTTGACAGGTATGTGTCGTTGTTATTGGGTGCGGTGGCTGCCTTAGTAAGTGTCTTTTAGGGGGCATCACCAACCGCATTCGTTTGGCCCTGAACCCAGGGTCTGACGTTGCTCCAGGCTGACGCGAAAACCGAGCGTAGCCACAGAGGAGAGACGCCCTACTCGTGCAGCCGCACGACGCATTTCCTAGTCAGATGGCGTCTGTCGCTCCCAAAAAACTGGGCTCAGCACATTTCTTACAAATGGCGCGAAACCGAACGACAAACACCGGCGCGACATCACACTGCGCAAAGCGTTCTTGAAGCTTGAATGCAAACGAAAGGTGCGTCTGGCATGTTCCCAGGTCTGCACCGCCGTACGTGACGGATGCCATCTCTGAGAGAGACACTCACTAACTGAACTGGCTTTACCGCTTGCCTGTTGTTGTTGTTGTGATTCAAGTTTAGATTCTTCATTCATTTTTTCATTCATTCATTCACTTGCGCTCTTGAGTGTGTTCCATCGTCACGTGTTTGTGCTTGTCGTGTGCACGCTTGTCCCCCGTCCTTCTTCTCCCCCGTAGCCGTATTTCGCACCCCAGTTGTATTTGCCGTCGGCGGCCACTCGCCCGCCCACTGAGCTGTGCCTCGCTGCTGCTGCTGCTGCTAGGCCCGCCATGTCCCGCGACCACACTAACTTGCCTGTAAGTACCCGTCGCTTCAAGAGCTCTCAACCAAGATTGCGGGGTGCCGATGTCGTCATGGTACACTGCAGTGACAGCCGCGGGTGGCGAGATGTCAACTACCTCGCCTGGTATACAGGAGGACGTGGGTTCTACCCTGATCCTGATTCCTGTATATTTGGAATTTGCATGTTCTCTCCGTGGTCGCATGGATTTTTCTCCCGGTCCTCAGATTCTTCCCTCCACATTTAGAAAACATGCGTTTAGAGCATTTGTGTGCTATACATTTGCACACGATAAGCCACTTCGTTGAGCTTTCATTTGTGGCCAGGTCGCTCCCGAAAGAGTGCTATATAGCTCAGTGGACCTTACCTGGTATGATAAAATAAAAACTAGTTTCGTGTAATTAATTAATCCGACAGCCTCCCTCCTGTCTTCACGCATGAAGCAAGCATTTGTTAATGTGGACGCATTGCGCCATTACTTAAGACACCCAAAGATTACTTTCCACAGTGGTTCCGTGTGTTTCGAGATAACCGAAGAGCCCGATGCGGGATCCGTAGACTCTGCCACAGGTGCTAGACGTCGCTTCTGAAAAATAATCTAATAGCTGAGTGGGCTTGACTTGGTAAAATAAAAGGTTTCGTTATGATCATTAGACCTCCTTTGCCAGTACCAAAATATAATAATAGGGTTTTCCCCCTTTTTTTGGCAACAAAACTGAAACCTTTTGGCGTCCTCTGGTCGAGCACCAATTGGGTCGAGGCTCAAAAGAAAGCCGTCCCTTGGTGTGGACCAATCAGTATCAAGGACAATGCATATATTATCATAGTATGATTTTTGTTTGCATTTTGACCACAAGCATTGTGGTTAATGCAGACATAAATCCTTGTAAAAAGGTTTCCGTTTTGTTGCTAGAAAAAAGGGGGAAAACCCTATTATTATAGTCTCGTTTTGTTTGTATTTTTTTGTTAGTGATTTGCTTACCTTTCCTATACCCTGTCGTGTTTTCGTGTTGTTGATGTAACGTTCCGACACACCACTGCTGGACATCTGTGAAACAGAACTTCATAGCTCATCGGATTCCTTCTGTATGAATGAATATTTTGACGCTGGGCGGTTCGAGCTGCGGGTGTCGCAGCTCCGTTCGCCGCACCCGTTTTGGCTTCCGCATGCGCTTTGCCGGTGAGACCCGAGCAGCAGAGTTACACGGAGGCCGCGCCCGGCACGCCTCCGCGGTCCACACTCGCGGCAGTCGCCAAACTCTCGGGCGACAAACTCCGCCGCTTTCAGTGGCGCCATGGTGCGCGGAACAGGAAGTGGCCTCCCGATTGGCTTGCTCACAATCACGTGGGGCAGATGGACGCGTGCGATTGGTTGTGTGCTTGCCGCTTGGGCTGTCGCACGCCACGCTGGTTGCCACGGTACTGCTGTGTGTGTGCTGTGATGGGGGGGGGGGCTACGGTCAGTGGATTGTTTTAGTGAAGGGACTGCATTCTTACGTTCGGGCAGGTACAGCATCTGATCAAAGTATAATTTCGCTCTTGATGCCCTGCTTCTAGGCGAAGCTGCAAGCTTTTAACAAAATAAGGCTTCGATTTGGCTGCAGCCGGTCCTGTTGTGTTTGCGTCAATCCGTTTTTGACATTTCCATTGAGAAGTACGAAAAATAAGTAGCACAATTACATTAACTCGTTGTCTCTAGGGGCCACTATAGTGTTATTAATACATTATTTTACACATTAGTTTATAGTATCATCCTGATTACAATCGCCTGTGATTGGATGGAGTCCATCACTTGCAGCGTATTTCTTTACAGCCTGACTCAAGCCTATTCACTGCATCCTAAATACATTCATACAATTTACTACCATCATGAGTCAAGAATGTCTGTGTGTCCCGCATGTGACGTCACTCCACGTCGACCAGCCCCCCTCATTAATAATCATGAGCAGGTGACGTCCTCCAAATGGGGGGGCGAGGAGCCTCCTCCACCCTCCTCGGCGTCAAATTACAACCCTCACTACAAAGGCAGAACCCTCACGTCGCGCGATCTCCGTAACGCTATTGAGACATAGAAGTAAAAAGGACGTCATAATGAACAAGAGATTATAACCTTTAAATGAAATAAGTCTGTGTCACCGCGGCCTTACAAATTGCACACGAATTGATGCAATAAATATCACGTTGCTTGCAAGTTTTAGATTTACTGAAATACACCCGTCCTTGGACGGGCAAAAGGCTCGTAGAATATTAACTTAATTTACTTTGTTCACATTTGGGAAGGACGTATCAATTTTCGGACTGACTTATTTTGACCTTAAGAACACTTATTTAAATAAAGAAGTGAATAGCAAACCCGCCCTTGTCTTTATGACCGATCATACGAGTGGCTGGTTAGAATGCGATGTCTCAAAGAGTTATGTTAGGTCTGTCAGTTTAAGTGTGCGGGACCGCAATTCCGCACACCACATGTACATCGGGCAGAGAACGTTCTTTCAATTCATGATCCTGGGAGAATTTGTCCATTTGGTTTTTTCTTTACATTTTTTGTGTTCATTTTGGTGGATTTAATTGTTACGTTTCAATTTAGAAAGTGACACGTTTAGGAACATCGCATTTAAATTTCCGAAATTTACACGGTTATTTAAATATGTAATATAAAAAAAAATTGTAATTGATGTAGCATCGGCAAAGTGGTTAGTTCACTGCACTATGAACCCTGAAATCAGAATTTGATTCCTGGCCACAGCTCTCATCAGTGCCAAGCGATATCTGAACCGTTCCTAAGCAGTTACCTTTACCAACCCACATTGACAGCATGATGAAGTATGATCAAACAACCACCATGACTCACGTGGCATAGGGAAGCCAACACCCAGCAATGAATTAACAAAGAGCTGTAAAGTATTACAATATTACTTTAATGTATGTAACAGATCAACTTTTTGTATGGGTGATTATATATGTGAGAATGCGAATACGTTTGCAGTGTGCAATTGTGTGGGTATGTTGGTGCGTGTGATTGGCGCGCTGCATTACGAACCCCGCAAGCCGAGTTCGATTCCCCCCCACGATCAACAGTTGAAGATTATCTGAACCGGTCCTGGGCCTCCGCCCGGTCGACTCGGCCTCAAATGAGTACCTGGTGTGGTGTGTAAACCTCGCCGCTTTGGGGACAAAGGTGGTCGATGTGGTGCTGGCCACCTTGTATGCCTTGCCTGTCCTCATAGGTTCTGTTCCTGTAACAGCCATTTCCCCAACAGTCTGTTAAGGCTACACGGGAGATCTTTACCTTTGGCGAAGAGGGTGCCAATGACAATTTCAGGTTCCACCTGGCGCCGATACTTTCAGCTGTGTGCACATTTCGTTGCAATGGGAAAGTGAATTCGTAGAAGCCAACGGCCGGGCTTGCCCGCCCCTCACTCAGACCGGCGGGGGCGAATGTGTGTTTGACACAGAGGTTCGGCCGGTGACATTTGGATTGAAGCGAGCAAATAAATAATCTCTGTTTGCTCCGCTCGCTGCCGGCAGTGTAACCTCTTGGCTGTTCTCTTTCCATTTGACTCCCCTGCCACGTCTTCACTTGCACCTTGTGCCAGAATGTGTTGGGAGCCCAAAAACACGATTTGAATTTACAGGAGTACCACATTATTTTTTTGGTGCCAATAATTTTCGGCTTGGTTAACTCGTTTTCAAGGAGGGTTTTTTTTTACCTTCCCTACAGTTGAGGTACTACTCTTGACAGACATTCCACATTCCTATGAAAAGGGCCAGTCATTCCTTGGGATGACCACTGGTAACTTGCTTCAAAGTGTTGCTCAATGGGCTCAGTTGACCCACCACCCTGCCCCCTCCCACCAATATATTACTTTGCAGGTTTCCTATTACGAGTCGAGCACCCCGCATATGCATATTTCTACAGATGTTGAGATAGTACCTTTATATAACTGCAAACTTCCCCAGTCTCCGTTGCAAAGAGGAGTGCAAGGTACATTCATAATGAATCCATTCTGGCTGTAACCCTGTTGAGACCAAAAGTCTGTCCTTTGAAGCGATTTTGGTAAAATAACAGCGTAAAAGTACGTGGAGTCGAATAACACAAAATGAATGGAGGCTCGGCTAACGGTCTGGCTCGCCAGCTTGCCTTTTGGCTGCTGTTCTTGTATCAAGGACACGCAACGTGTCATGTCAACTGGTTTGGGTCCCTGCGTGGCCCTGAGAGAGCCGTGCGCCGCCTGTCGAATGCGACCTCTTGCCCTGTGAGCCCTTGTCATCTCAAAGCCCTTTCAGTCATCGGTTACAGGCAGATGCTTCCAGCGCACTCTGCCCGGTCTGTTTTCCTCGTTGTTTTTTGGGAGCGGGCGCCTCGACTTGACGACTTGACGTCGTCGAAGTCACGGCTTTAGCAGTCAAAAAAGATGGCGATGGCACCACGCCTCGCCATCGCTTCCTTCCTCCTGCCAGATCCCTCAGCTGCTCCACAGTCGACACGCGACTTCCAAGATCCGCTCTTACAGTGTTCCACCGTCTGGCCCTAAGACTTCTTCTTGGTCACTGATCTTATCTTACCTGAACTTAATTTATATAGCGCCTTAGCCAAGGCACTTTACTGTGAATTAATAACGGTACATATGAATGTAATGGGGGAGATGAATAAAATAAATGAGAGGAAGCAATGGGGGCAAATCCGTGATGCGTGAATTTGGTGAAAGCGAAACTGATGACAGTAAATGATGACGAACAGATTGAATGAATGGGGTGAATGAGTGATCGCCATGTAACGAGAATATGAAGAGGGAACGGTAACGATGGCGGTTATGAGGGGGAGATTTTTGGGGGATCGTGGGGTGAGGAGCAGAAACTAGTGAGCGAAGGTGACTGCTTAATGTGGAGGGGAAGTTTGTTCCAGATAAGGGGGGGCGGGAACAGAGAGAAACCGACAGCACAAGGAGGAAGGGGGTCAGAGAGAGACAGCAAAGATTGAGAGCGTAGAGGGTGAGAAGGCGACGTAGGAAGGTA